GAGACTTACGTAATTTGGGGGGGGGGTTAAGGGATGCCTTACGGTGCTGCACAAGGAGAAGTATGGGGGTTAAAAAATGGGGAAAAGGTCTTACGTAATTTATACTAAAGGATGTTAACTGAACACTATGCTACATTAATTCCTGTCTGGAGTCTGCTTTTTCCTCCAAGAAAAAACAAGTTTATTGGACGGCCCCTGTATACTACTGTATACCCTCATACAGGGACCCTGGACCAGAGTTGCTAAAGGAATTTCATCGTATGAAATTCTTGAAATTTCACAAGAAATTTCATGAAATTTCCTCATAAAATTTCTTGAAATTTCCTTATGAAATTTCTTTTTGTAATCTTTCATGAAATTTCTTAACTCTGCCTGGACCTTGGGTTCAGAAGTTTCTCTGAAGCAAGAGGAGCCCTTTTCGATTACGTTTCAATCAAAATGCAATCCTCACTCAGATTTTTTGGAAAAAATAACCCTGCGATGCCCTACGCGGCATTTATAAATATGATCAAGGCGTTAAAATATTTTCACCGCGAGGGCGCGAACCGTGAACGCTCAGGTCATGGGGCGGGTGCCTTACCGCTTAGCTACACCAATTGGTGTTGAGATGGCGAATTTGCCAGTACATAAGGCAAATAAAGTTCTTTCTTTCTCCACTAGAGCTGAGAGTAGAGACGCATCGGTGAAACGCTCTTGCTTACTGATGATCTGCGGCAGGATTTTTGTCATCCCTAACCTTCTAAGCCAAGAAGGAATCTCTGCTAAACTCAAACGCCCTTCGGGACGTCACAAACGATTTTCAAGATGGCAGTACCATGTAAACAAGCCGCACAACGATGCTGAACGTGAACAATTTTATATTTTTAAACATGTACAAAAACTCTCCATCAATCTAGTGACTACTCCGTTCCATCCCAGCATTTCTATTCTTTAAGACTCAAATAACTCATACATTGTCCTGTAGTTTAGTTCACTTTCCCGTGTAGGTACAGCCGGAAGCATGGCAGACGCAGCGGCCCGTCAGCAGCAGTACGAATACAAAGCGGTATGTACCTATTTTTCCGTCAGTAATGCAAAATCTTAGATACTATGGATGATCAATTAATCCGTCACTCAGTATTATGTGTGCGGTAAAGTGGCACCTTCAGCAGCGCTTTCCAAGAACCTACGCAGGTCGCAGAAAGTTGTACCGCTAACTCTGCCACAAACTTTGCCACTTTTTCTTGCAGGGGTGCATTGTTTTTCACAGCACGGCCTCATTCTGGTGCTGCCGTTTAAAGAAGCTATTTTCGTCATGTACAGCCATACAGGTAGTGGGAGAGATTGCTGGTTTGTTGAATAATTGGTTCACGACTAACCAAATGATGATCAGGTAATGCAAGAATGCTTCTAAAATGGGTGCTTGACTGGCAGCTGAATGAAAATGAGACGACACTCTTAAATTTCAAAGCATGTAAAATGGCATTGTAACCGAGAAAGTGTTTCATCTTTAAACTCTAAATTTCTATTATCTCCTGCGTTTGCTGGATGTCAGGGGTTGCTCTGAAAACGTTATCGTAGTCATCATAGACTAGATAATCTGCAAACTCGACAGTGCGACTGCCAATACACCCTTTTTTCACTAAACTTTACTGCAAAACCAAGTAGGTTTTCCTCCACCTTACCTGTTGCTCGAATTTGGCTAGACTCAGGGCTGCGAAAACTTCTGCGACCACCACGCCACCAGGTGGGTAGCGATTGGTCATTTGCATAAATGGGATGGCTTTAATAGCGGATTTCAGTAGAAAAAAGCTGTCCAAATTGAGTTATTTTTTGATAAACTGTAGGAAAAATCTTGGTTTTTGTTGCGAAATTGGAGCAAGCTACTGAGAACATATCATAGTACTAAGTACCATATGAGCCGCAAAAAGGTCATCTTCTGAAAATTTCTGAGCAAAAAAGGCTTTTGTAAGGGGGGAGCCACTTTGAAGAATGGTAAGGTTAAAAACCTTCTGCATCTATAGCAATATGGACTATCAAAGTAATAAAGAATATTCGATATGCTCAGCTGATGTATAGCACCCACCAGGATAATATTAAATACACTAAGTATCAATATTTTTTATAATTTTTAATTAATTTTTGACAGAACTCCAATTTAGTCTTACAAGCTGACATCCGTCTTATTGAACGACGAAGTCGTGATGAAGCGACAGGAGAAGTTTTATCATTGGTCGGCAAGCTGGATGGCACTCGGATGGGAGATAGGTTTGAAAGGAGGAAGCCTATCAAAGCAGAAGAAAGAAAAGTCAAGTAAGTCTATCATTAAAAAAGTTGAACGTGGTTCTCTTTTTCAATCTCTTTTTCTTCTCATGTAACTCGCCTCAGTCATAAATTCCAGAAAAGATGTAATAGTAACGTGTGAAAGACTGCCACAATTAATTGTATACCAGTGTAGATTTTATACGAAATATTACTTATTCCACTTTGAGCAGTCATTCATTAACAATAAATAACTCATGTTTAACCATCTTAGTAGACTTGTTCTGATCAGTGAATTTCAAATTTGTACTACGTTTGAATCAATCCTCTCTGTTTTACCTTAGAAAGTTGTAAAGTAATATTACCAACAATATCTAAACCGGTGGAGGCAGTTAAGGCGTTAACAATGTGAAATAAAGTTTCTCCCCCTCGTGTAGTTTTTTGAGCTATAATATTTTCTAGCTGAAGGTTTACTCAAAAAATTTTTACTTTAAAGTCATCAGAAACCTTTGTTTGACTTTGTGCACATTTTAATTTCTCCTTTTCATATTCTATATCATAGGCGTCAAAAGAGAGATGAAGCTCAGTATGACTTTACTAGAATGAAAGGAGCAACTCTTCTGTCAGAAAGTGTCCATGAAATGGTCGGTATCATCTACAAACCAAAGACACAAGAAACTCGGCAGACATATGAAATTTTATTGAGTTTTATTCAAGAAGCACTCGGAGATCAGGTAATAATTTATGTGATCTTGTGCATTGACATCCTGACAGTAATTATAGAATTTCAATTTTTTTCTGTATCATCCTTATAGATTTGGCCCTCTGTATTTCTAACAAGTATTATTGTGAATAATATTATTTTAGTCACCAATAATAATTCAATGCTTTCACGTAACAGAATCTTTGTATTTATAGATTAAGAGATATCTAGTCAATGTGCCCTGAGACTTTATTTTAAAACTTGAAAGTTATGCCCAAAATAAATGTCATCTTATAATATATACCAAAATGAAACATACCTTATTTTCAAACGAGAGCCCAGAGCAAAAATCACAAAGCGGACTTCAGAACTAAATTTATAAATTTTGGTTAGGATTTCCATCAGTAGGAACATGTTTTCTTTCGGAATATCTTTGCGCAAATTTTTGATTGATCATCGATTTTTTTATCCGTACTTCATTGACTCAGGTCTTATTTTTGCCCCTGCTTTTTGCATCTTATTAATTTCCTTTTATTATTTTTGATCCACAGCCTCGAGACATATTATGTGGAGCAGCTGATGAAGTTCTTGCAGTTCTAAAAAATGATCGTCTTAAAGAGCGTGAGAAGAAAAGGGAAACAGAGTCACTTTTGGGCCCTTTAACTGATGAAAGATTTGCTCTATTAGTTAACCTTGGGAAGAAAATCACTGATTTTGGAACCGACGACAAAGTTACAGTTTCAGGTATAGCTTTTTTTTACAAATTGTTTCCATAACCTTATACACAGTTTGACCATATCTTGCACCAAAAATTAATTTTCCTCCGTTGACTGAACTGTATTGTTACAAAAAATAATATCAACTAAGTTGGATTAATTTCAGAGTCGGACCTTTGGCATAGATCAGCTGGTATTTTCAGAAGAGATTGCATCAAGAATGAGAGGGAAGATCATGGATGCTAAACAGTCCACCATGTATGATATTAAGACGAAGCAACTTGTATGATATTTTCATGATCAGAGAATGGCAGGAAACAGGTTGCCAAAAAAGGTCCTAGGTTTACTTCCTCTGAGGAAAAGGCACAGAAGGCGCCCAGTGAAAGGTTGGATGGATGAGATTCAAGCAGAAATGGTAATTTGATAGAGAACAATGGTGGTTAGGTGGCGTAGAGCGCAAGAGAGTGCCATAAAGCAACATATGTTTGTCCCCTCTCACTTTTAATGGATCTTTAATCCATAAACTTATTGTTATTGAATTGTGAAAAATAATGTTGCCCAAGATGTAGAGCTGATGAATATTTGGTGAATTGAAGCATTTTAAAACATTTTTTTCCTGGTCCATATCTTATACTTAATTTAATTAGACATTTTCCTATACTCTTAGTCATTTACACTGTGATATTTTCTCTTTTGTTTTTCTTAGATGAAAAAATCGATGAAACATACGGTATCAATGTACAGTTTGAATCCAGTGAGGAAGAAGACAATGAAGATGTATATGGAGAAGTGAGAGAAGGTGGAGAAGAGATGGAAGAAGATGGAGAAGAAGCCTCTATGAGAGCCATCCATGCCGAAAATGTAAGAAACTAACTACCTCTTAACTTTTTAGTTGCTAATTCATGCTCATTACTCTACTAATGACTTTATTTGCTTTTCTGACTCTTGTCTTTATGGTGGAGTTTTGCCATTTTGCAAAAATGACCAAGTAGCAAATTTTAAACGGAATCTTGGCTTTACGCATCAATCAACGTTAATATCTTTGTTAGGAGTTACTTTCAGCAATTTTCATTTTAAAAATTGTGTTTCACTTAAAATTAATGTAAAAAAAACATGTATTATTATGAATCATTAAATTTGCACTTTGTCTATTAGTGTATTGATCATCATTTCTCAATTCCTAATGAACCTCTAGGCAAGGTATGAATGCACGACACAGCATGTTTTTTCTTTAAAATTCCACGAGAAAAACAAATCACACAACAGAAAGTCTTTGAATCAACTCCTAAATAAGATGTACGCGTTTACAGTTAACATTGGTCGAACAGCAAAAGTACAAATGACGTCAGATGTGAAAAGTAACTGTCATTTGACTTATGTCAAAAATAATTTTTAATCTTGTTTGGTAGTTGATTTCAAAACTTCTCATTGAGTGAATCATTTTCTACTTTAGATTTTGAAGAGAAAACATCGAACATTAAGTTCCAGTTCACATCAAGAGTAGTGACTCATTTATCAGTCAAGTTCTGTATTTGTGCATTAGTAATTGGCTTATGTCCCATTTTTTCCAGTAATATTCAATTTAATGGTACCTAAGCAACACACACACTGCTTATTTTTTCGCAAACAGTGGTCTAAGGGTTCCAGTACTGCAATATTATACAGCATTTATTATTTCTAATAAATTTTTTGAATTTTTTACTGAAAGTGTGTTTCTTCTGTTTCTCTAGCTAACTGGAGGGGAGGCAGTTACCAACAAAAAAGAAAGGACCCTCCATCCGCGAGACATTGATGCATATTGGCTTCAAAGAAATCTATCACGTTTCTATGATGATGCTATGGTATCTCAATCTAGAGCTGCTGAAGTCTTAGAAATTTTGCAAAGTGCAGGAGACGACAGAGATTGTGAGAATCGGCTGGTCTTATTATTGGGTTATGATTGTTTCGATTTCATCAGGATCCTCAAAAAACACTGGCACATGATTCTGTACTGTACGCTTTTAGCCTCATCTCAAAGCGAAGCTGAACGTCAAGAGTTAAGAGAGAAAATGAACCAAGACCCCGCTCTGCAACGGATTCTCAAACAACTTGATACAGGTACTTCTGTCCATGCCTTTTGAACTGTGACTAGAATTTTTTCTCTGCCAGTCAAAATTCTTTAACCAATGGAAGAGTCATACTCAGTCATAAAAACTTCCTCTCTCAATTTTATTTTGATACCAGATTGTTTACTGAGGTGAAAAACTGGAAAAAACCATAAAGAGTTAGGAAAGGTAATTGCATCCATAAATGTCAGAGAATTTCATTTTCTTACATAGTAGGTCTGAGGTATATGAAGGGAGAGAGAATAGGAGGAGAGAGTGCAGATAAGAGCACCTGACAGTCAAAGAGAGAAAGAGGCGATTTTGCACAAGTGACAAGCTGGATAAAGCAAGGGTTATAGAGTGAAAAGTATAGCGTTCGGGCTTATAGGTAAATTTGTATTATTTTATAATCCAGATTAAGATTGGTCTCTAATAATTACTGTTCATTTTATAGGTAAAACTGAAGACGAAGAAGAAAGTGGGAGGTACAGAGGCTCATCTCGAAACTTAGATCATGAAGAGGAAGAGGATGAAGCAACAAACAGTGCAGTTGTTGCCGGTAACAGACAAATGGTGGATCTTGAAGATCTTGCCTTTGCACAAGGATCTCATTTTATGTCGAATAAACGGTGTCAACTACCAGATGGATCTTATAGGAAACAAAAGAAAGGTTATGAGGAAGTCCATGTTCCAGCTTTAAAACCAAAACCATTTGGCGCGGACGAGCAACTCATTGCAATTGATACATTACCTCGTTATGTACAGCCAGCATTTGAAGATTTTAGAACGCTCAATAGAATTCAGAGCAAACTTTACAAAACAGCCCTGGAATCAGATGAGAACCTTTTGCTTTGTGCCCCTACCGGTGCTGGAAAAACAAACGTAGCCTTATTGACAATGTTACGAGAAATTGGAAAACATATAAACGCAGATGGCTCCATAAATGCAGATGAATTTAAAATAATTTACATTGCACCTATGAGATCACTTGTGCAGGAAATGGTTGGAAGTTTCAGCAAGCGACTGAGTTCATATAACCTAACCGTTTCAGAATTGACTGGTGATCATCAGTTAACAAGAGAACAGATTGAAGCAACCCAGATCATTGTTTGCACTCCAGAAAAGTGGGATATTATCACACGAAAAGGTGGTGATAACTCTTTTATACAGTTGGTTCGACTTATAATCATTGATGAAGTTCATTTGTTACACGATGAAAGAGGTCCAGTGCTAGAGTCAATCGTCGTACGTACAATTCGTAACATTGAAACAACCAAAGAAGATGTTCGTATCGTGGGTCTCTCTGCTACCTTGCCGAATTATCGGGATGTAGCCACCTTCCTGAGAGTTGACAAAGGACTTTATTATTTCGATAACAGCTTCCGTCCTGTCGCCCTTGAACAACAGTACATTGGAGTCACTGAAAAGAAAGCACTTAAAAGGTTCCAGATGATGAATGAAATTGTTTATGAGAAAGTCATCCAACACGCTGGTAAAAACCAAGTTTTAATTTTTGTCCATTCCCGCAAAGAAACTGGCAAGACTGCACGCGCAATAAGAGACATGTGTTTAGAAAAGGATACATTAGGTTTATTCTTAAGAGAAGGTTCTGCTTCAACTGAAGTATTGCGCACTGAAGCAGAGCAAGTCAAGAACAATGAATTACGCGAGCTATTACCTTATGGCTTTGCCATGCATCATGCTGGTATGTCACGTGTCGATCGTACTCTTGTTGAAGACTTGTTCGCAGATAGACATGTGCAAGTACTAGTCTCAACTGCTACTCTCGCCTGGGGTGTCAATTTGCCAGCGCATACAGTCATTATTAAAGGAACACAGATTTACAACCCTGAAAAAGGACGATGGGTAGAACTCAGCGCTCTTGATGTCCTTCAAATGTTAGGACGTGCTGGAAGACCTCAATACGACACAAAAGGTGAAGGTATCCTCATAACCAATCATAGTGAGTTGCAGTATTACTTGTCGCTACTTAACCAACAGTTGCCCATTGAGTCTCAGTTTGTCACAAAGCTTCCGGATATGTTAAATGCTGAATTAGTCCTAGGTTCTGTCCAGAACATGAAAGAGGCTGTTAAATGGCTTGGTTACACATACCTGTTTGTTCGAATGTTGCGCGCTCCCTCACTTTATGGCATATCTCAAGAAACTCTTGCAAAAGATCCTCTTTTAGAACAGCACAGGGCTGATCTTGTTCACACAGCTGCTTTGCACCTTGAGAGGAGTGGTCTCATCAAATACGAGCGTAAAACAGGACACTTCCAAGTCACTGAATTAGGTCGTATTGCAAGTTACTATTATTGCACAAATGAAACCATGGCTACTTATAATCAGCTGTTGAAACCAACATTGAGTGAAATTGAACTTTTCCGCGTGTTTTCACTGTCTAGTGAATTCAGGAACATTACTGTGCGGGAGGAGGAAAAGTTGGAGCTTCAAAAGTTGATGGAAAGAGTTCCTATTCCCATTAAAGAAAGCATGGAGGAAGCAAGCGCAAAAGTTAATGTTCTTTTACAAGCATACATCTCACAGCTGAAACTGGAAGGATTCGCACTTATGTCGGACATGGTTTACATAACGCAGTCAGCATGTCGTCTTCTGCGGGCAATTTTTGAAATTGTACTTCATCGTGGCTGGGCTCAACTCGCAGATAAAACCTTATCTTTGTGCAAAATGGTCGATCGTCGAATGTGGCAGTCAATGTTACCTTTAAGGCAGTTCAGAAAAATGCCGGAAGAAATAATCAAGAAAATCGAGAAAAAGAACTTACCATGGGAACGTCTGTATGATCTGGGACCAAATGAACTTGGAGAACTTGTTCGTGCTCCCAAATTAGGAAAAACTATTCACAAATACATCCACCAGTTCCCTAAACTCGAATTGTCTACTCACATTCAACCAATCACGAGATCCACCCTGAAAGTTGAATTGACAATTACTCCCGACTTTGTTTGGGAAGATAAGGTGCATGGTTCTTCCGAAGCGTTTTGGATCATGGTTGAAGATGTGGATTCAGAAGTTATCCTTCATCATGAATTTTTCCTTCTAAAGGCGAAGTATCAAGCTGATGAACATATTGTCAAATTCTTCATTCCAGTTTTCGAGCCCCTCCCTCCGCAGTATTTCCTCAGAATAGTTTCTGATCGTTGGATCGGTGCGGAAACACAACTTCCAGTGTCTTTCAGACATCTTATATTGCCTGAAAAGAACTTACCTCCCACAGAGTTGCTAGACTTGCAGCCTCTACCTATCACTGCTCTTAGGAACAGTCAATTTGAATCTTTATATCAAGAAAAATTCCCACAGTTTAATCCAATTCAGACGCAAGTTTTCAATGCAGTCTACAACAGTGACGACAATGTCTTTGTTGGAGCACCTACTGGCTCAGGTAAAACAACTATAGCAGAATTTGCCATCCTTCGTTTACTGTCGCAAAATCCTGAAGGACGCTGTGTTTATTTAGTGCCCCAAGAATCTCTAGCAGAAATTGTCTATGAAGAATGGCAACAGAAATTCGGCACGTTGTTGGGTCAGAAAGTAGTTCTTCTGACAGGAGAGACAGCAACAGATTTGAAATTGTTGCCTAAGTGTCAAATTGTCATCACAACGGCTGAAAAGTGGGATGTGTTGTCACGAAGGTGGAAACAGCGTAAGAACGTTCAAAACATCCATCTTTTTATTGTTGATGAACTTCAGCTAATAGGTGGCGAAGAGGGCCCTGTGCTGGAGGTTGTTTGTTCTCGTATGCGGTACATGTCTGCACAGATGGAAAAACAAATCAGAATAATCGCCCTCTCTGCATCTGTTGCTGATGCTCGTGATCTCGCTCAGTGGTTAGCTTGCTCGCCCAACTCCATGTTCAATTTCCATCCAAGTGTACGGCCAATCCCACTAGAACTTCACATACAAGGCTTCAATATTACTCACAATGCATCTCGACTGATAGCAATGCAAAGACCAGTTTATAATAATATTGCGAAACACAGTTCAGACAAACCTGTCATCATTTTTGCACCAACAAGGAAACAAGTTCGGCGTACCGCTATTAGTATTCTAACTTACGCTGCCGCTGAAGGCCAACCTAAGAGATTCTTTTATGCAGAAGATGAAGACATCAAGCCATTTTTGGCTCGTATCTCAGACAATACTTTAAAAGAGACTTTACCATATGGCGTCGCATACATGCATGAGGGTCTTTCGCATAGTGACAGGCAGCTAATAGAGCAGTTGTTTGAAACAAACGCAATTCAAGTAGCAGTTGTTACAAGAAATCTATGTTGGAGTCTTACCATCTCTGCTTATTTAGTAATAATCATGGACACTCAGTATTATGATGGAAAAATCCATGCGTATGAAGACTATCCAATCACAGATGTTATTCAAATGGTAGGTCGTGCCAACAAACCTCTCGAACACAATGATGCCAAATGCATTCTCATGACTCAAAACTCAAAGAAGGACTTTTTCATGAAGTTCCTAAATGAACCATTGCCTGTAGAGAGCCATCTGGATCACCGTTTGCATGATCATTTCAATGCAGAAATTGTGACAAAGACTATTGAAAACAAGCAGGACGCTGTGGATTACTTGACTTGGACATTCCTGTACCGACGGACCACTCAAAATCCTAACTACTATAACCTCCAAGGAGTTACACACAGACTTCTTTCTGATCATTTATCTGAACTTGTTGAAAATACACTCCAGGATCTTGAACAATCCAAATGTATCAGCATAGAAGAGGAAATCGACTGCACTCCATTGAATTTAGGAATGATCGCTGCTTACTATTACATCAATTATACAACTATAGAATTGTTCTCATTATCTTTGAATAACAAGACTAAGATCAGAGGTTTACTAGAAATCATATCAAATGCTTCAGAGTACGAGGCAGTTCCAGTCAGACACAGAGAAGATAATTTGCTTCAGAGTCTTGCGCAAAGACTGCCAAATAAACCAACAAGTAGTTCCGGCCAGCCTGTCAAGTTCAATGATCCTCACATCAAAACCAATCTTCTGTTGCAAGCTCATCTTTCTAGGATTCAACTAGGTCCTGAGCTACAAGGAGATACTGAAATGATTTTGTCAAAGGTTAGTCTGAATATAATCTCTCTCCTTTTACAAAATAGTCATTTTTTCAATGGTGATGTGAATTGTTCGAATGCGGCGTGCCCTTTCTAATCAAAGGATCTTGTTAATATTTTCCTTTTTACAAGAAAAAACTGAATAATGTATCCTCATTTTCTTACCTCTTCAGTCTTTTATTTTATTTTTTTTTTTGTAAATCTACTCGACTCCTTTTGCTTTCTTGAATAGATCACTGTCATGACCTCTATCTTGAGTTATTTAGTTCCTGCTTCAAAGACTGCTATCACCCTTTGTCCAACAATTTTATTCGAACTCTCTTCAGTTTAAATAAGAAATTAGCTTTACTATTTCTCAAACTTTTATCTGAAAATCTTTCAAGGTCTAAACATATCTTGAGAGCAAAAAAGCATAATGAGGGTTTGAACCAAAGACCATGAAAATCTCATTGTTGTATGCCAGACAACAAAATGGAGGAAAAATGCAACAAATTTGATGATATTGTGAGGATATTTGATGAAACAGACTGAAGCAAGAAACTGACATCACAAGGCTTATGGAAAAAACTTGAAGGAATATCTTCTTGATGATCACTTCTCCCTCATATTTGTCTTTTAATGCAATTAGCTTTAAATTCTCATATTACATCTGACATGTTTTCAGTGTTTTTTTTAACATGTTTTTTTTTCTGTATTGTAAATAGGCAATCAGACTTATTCAAGCATGTGTGGATGTTCTGAGTTCGAATGGATGGCTTTCGCCAGCTGTCGCTGCTATGGAACTTGCGCAGATGGTCACCCAAGCCATGTGGAGTAAAGACTCCTACCTCAAACAGTTACCGCACTTTACACCAGAAGTCATCAAAAGGTGTCAAGAAAAGGTAAGGAAATTTCAGATGAGTCTCTACTCATTTTCACCCACATGGGAATTAATTATCAGATCAGATTCTTGAATGGAAATTTACGAATTTTTGTTTTTATATTTTCCATACAGTCAAAATAATGCAAAAGGAGATGAGCAGAAATCTCCTTAATTTAATTTCTACATTTAATTATATAGGAAACAAAAGGCGGTAGAAAGATTTCAGAAATCATCACTTCTCTATCATTTTCAGAAGAATGTCTGATAAGCCCCCATCAAATCACACATTAAAAATGCTGTTTCTAAATGACTGTTTTTGCCTCTCTGAAATTAGTATGTCGGAAAAATGCTTGTTCTTTAAAGTCATCTCATCAGTTAACATTTGAAGAAATCAGACCAGGATAACTAAATTAGATGAGCTTAGTTTTAAGCATGTTATAATTTTTTCATATATCTTATATTTATTCTCATTACAGGGTGTTGAAACCGTATTTGATGTCATGGAATTGGAAGATGAAGATCGTGTTAAACTTCTACAAATGACTGATTCGCAAATGACAGATGTTGCCAACTTCTGTAACCGTTACCCTAACATTGATATCAATTATGAGATCAACAACAAAGATAAAATAACAAGCGGTCGACCTGTCAACATCACTGTTAATCTTGAACGAGAAGATGAAGTTACTGGGCCTGTCATTGCACCCTTCTTCTCACAGGTATGATTAGTAACCAATATTCCTCATTGATATTTGATTAAACCTTAATAATAGTGAAATGCATATTAATATCCTGATCTTGTATCAGGAACTGTGGTTGTGGTCCTAAACAACTGATGAATCTGAGTATCGGTGTGGGTTTCCATATTTAACCTGCCTCTTCTACCTGTAGGTTTGTCAGTCTACCTTAATGGGCTTAGTCAAGTGAAAAGAACTCGTTTTGGCCTGTTTAGAATCAAAATGCTCACATATTTGTTTTGATCAAAAATTTTGTCTTTAAGGACTATTCATACCTAGGTAATGAGGTCCACCTTTCAAGCTAAGCTCTATTAGTCAAAATTGTTTACAAGAATATCAGGTACTGAATCTTAATTTGAAAAAATTAATCAGAGTCAGCCTAAACCAGAAGCCTCAGATTCAGAAAAAGAATTTCCTCTCATGTCTTATTATTTTAACTGAAAACTAAGTAGAATTCTAACTTGAAATTTCGTTCATATATACTTGATGATGCATCAAAAATTGTCAGAAAGTTTCAAGATATTATGTCGTTTAACTTCCTGTTGAAAAATGAAACATGAGAGAAAATGAGGCAAGGAGTAAATGTAGGTAGGCTGACTCGGGCCAAATCCATTTAATTTTTATTTAAGTTGATACTTAGAAAGTTGCATCATTACCCATTCGACCTTCCAAACAACCTCCAATGTTGTTTATTTTAATCCATCTTATTAAACATGAAGGCTAAGTTTACTCCTGATTTTTCTAAGCAATGAATTTAAAGTCATATGAAGGCATATTCGACTGATTATCTCTGTAATCTAAGCTTTGCGCTGCTAAAGATCTCTCTCAGATCTGTATCAAGGGATAAATGCTCTCAATCGTTCTCAAGAAAAAAGAATACATCTCACTCGTATTATCATTACTTTTTATTTCAGAAAAGAGAAGAAGGTTGGTGGATTGTCATTGGTGATCCTAAAGCTAATTCACTACTTTCCATCAAGAGATTGACACTTCAGCAGAAAGCAAAAGTCAAGTTGGACTTCAATGCTCCAAATCCTGGTAAGTTATTTATCTTGAAGTTCAAAGCAAGAGTTTTAACTATGTTGTAGAGAAAATAAAATTATGTAAAAAATATCTAATGCTCAGGAAAGTTTATAAAAAAGAAGTTTACCCAGGCAAAAGATAGAAGTGATGAAACTGGGTATTGGAAAATCAGAGTATTCATTACATTAATATGTATCTCAATAAATGAGGATCAGGTTTGAACCAGAGCATGAAGTCGAAGAATAAAGTTTAACTGTCTTGCAAGCAGATTTTCTTTCATCAAGTCGTTGAAGATGGTTGCTAGATGCAGCCAAAACGTGTCCCATGAAAAGAATTCCGGATACATGGAGTTTAACTTTAATATTTTGGATTAATTTCACGCATTGCATTTTTTCTCAGCAGGCACTTACTATACGGCTAGCTTAAAATGGTAAGAGAGGCACCTCTTGAATCCAGAAAAAATATTCAAAAAGGACAGAGAAAATATGTTGTCCCAATCATCGAGTGTATTTGCATCAGAATGTTTTTTGATAACTCTACTTTACGTAGTTCTTAAATGACGTCCTAATCATGTCTCAGAAATTCTTGATAGATATTATTTCATTCCTCCTATTCTTTTTCATTTCAGGTCATCATACTTACACCCTGTACTTCATGAGTGACGCTTATCTAGGTTGTGATCAAGAATACAAATTCAGCATTGATGTCAATGAAGATTATGATTCTGCAGACAGTGATGAAGATTAAACTGTAAGCTGAAATAATAGTTTGGCTCTTTATACCCCTCAAGGTACTGTGTCTTTCCCCTCTCCTATAGGTTTTGATAAACTCCCACTTTATAATTGTAAAAAAATGTAAATAAGCTGTAAAAAGAAAAGAAAAAAACAAATAAAGAGTCTTCTTTTAGAAAGAAACTTTGGTATGTTCTTTTTTTTTCTCAGAATATTAGTTTAAATAGCTTCTTTTCTTGGAGAAATTCGTCTCTGAAACAAGAAAACGAATAAGTTCCAATCAGCCCTATTTCACCTCAATTTTTTCACATGTTATACGAATGAAAAATCGAGGTGAATTGATTATGTTATTGACTATCTCAGATAATGTGAGACAACATGTAGATAATTGCTCCTGTCTTTTATTGAATAGGACGTTGATACTTGTTAAAAATCAATTATTTATTCTGAGTGAATGGCTGGCACAAAAAACGACCCCAGCGCAAATATCACTTCCACTCCAAGTCGGATGGCAAACAGCAGAAAACTCGCGACGAACCAGTTGAGTTTCTCCAAGGAGCATACATTTGATAGAGCAAAGCATGTAAGACATATGACAAAGTGGTAGCACACTTGTCTTGTACCACTGCGGCTCGAGTTCAAATCCATGCAGGGCCTCTACTTTACGTTCGCCTGTTAGATTATCTCTCCTGCCAAGGTGTGATATTTGCTCAGAGTTTATTTCACGCTGGAGCCATATCTTCTGAGTGCAGCTTGACCAGTGTGCCAGCTGAGTGAGCACGGTATGAATACCAGGATTTTTAACAGTTATTAAATACGAGGTGTAGAAAAATAAAATTTTACCTCTAAGTTGCTCAAATATAGGGTGGTTACTCAAATCCTAAGCAGTAGAGAATGAAGAATAGATGAAACTCCCAGAGAGTCTCTTTTAAAATATTTTCCAAGTAAAAATATTCATGCAAGGACATTAGAGCCATTGGAAAGACAGGAAACATTGCCAGGCATTGACCTGGACCTTATTGGATCAGCACTGGCAAACGCCACTGCAATATTTCAGTATTGTCTCCAATCTATCCTTACCATTGGCCTGCTTACAAAAAAGCTAATAACTCCATCAATAATAGCTTTGATCAGTTTTTCCCAGTTTGTATGATTTTTTCCTCACTAGTTGCAACCAAAATACAAAAAAAGTAAGACATTTTTCTGTTCAAAGCTCAAGGATTTTTATCCAACCCTGATAAGTTGGTAAAAGTTAGGAAATTTTACCATGTGAATTTTTTCGTCCAGCCAAAGCGCTGTCTTTTCTCACTTTCAATTGGACGTATATTTCTATCAAACGGAACTATGCACATTATGACGTGAGTCCTGTTATGCACATATTCTTATGGGTTCCAGGGCTCATGTCTTAATGCACACAGTTCCGTTCGGCAGAAATACGTCGAATTCAAGATACTTGGCGCTCAGAATTGTTAGTGATAAGAATTTTCTTCAGAAACCATACAAAATAACACTCAAAAGCTAGGGAACAAGCAAGGAATTTTAATGAACAAAATATCTAAAAAGTTGGGTAATTTTTAAATCCAAGAAAAGTTGTTCCCTTATCAACAGCGATGATCACGATAGGTTGTGACCCCACTTGTTGCTGACTGCTGAATTGCTGATAACAGTTCCATAAGTCGTTCTATTTGGCAGCGCTGTCTCACTGGAAAAAAAAAAAAAAACACATTGGATCTAGAGTCCAGACTCTTGAAAACATTGACAAGAAAAAATACTCTGGATTCAATCGGATTTTTGCTTGAATCAAAACGAAATCCGTTTAAATTAAGAGGCTTGGTTCTTGATTTAAGCTAGATTCTGATTGAATCAAGAGTACTTTTTCTTGTCGATGTTTTTAAGAGTCTGGACTCTGGATCCATTGTGTTTTTTTTCCAGAGCTCTTATGGAAGATAGTAAATAATTAGTATAGGCAATACCTAATTCTAACACACAATTGATTAAATGATGGGGTGGATAGAAAGTGCAGAATTGCTGATAAAATAAGGCGAGTAATTGCCGCATGAATGAATATTTTCCTCCTTATTTATGTGTTTATTATTATTTATGTACTCATTTCTTTTTTCCAATTTGATTAAATACTCAAACCGCTCTTTCTCCGCGAAACAACGACGTATTCTCATCGCGCGCTGGCTTTTTCTATGGCCAGGCGCGGATGCAACTATTCGTGTTCTCGGGATGTCCGTGATGCATACACAAAAAATTGCAGGCGCTCTGGTTTTCTTTGGCACAACGCACGCACGCCGGCGGCACGGCTGGCCGGCTGCGATTTTTAGCTTTCAAGCGGTTTCTTTCTACGTTGCATTTATAATCGCGTTTACCATGCAATCTCCTAGGGAGTCGTGTTGAATCACGGCAATGTTGCCAAGTGGTGTAAATTTTTCATCGTTAACAATTTCACCGAGGCATCGCGGATGTCAATCCCGCAAGCGACTGCCGATAACATTCCTGATACAGTTTGCATCATTTTCCTACGCTGCGTTCAAGGTAGATTCGCTGCCTCGGTACTACACGGCTCATCGTCTAGACTCAACGTCCAGAGTCACACTGTAAAAAACATTAAAGGTTAAGTATAACACGATTGTAAATGTAAAACCCCTTAAGAGAAAGAAAAGCCCGTAAGAGCTAACAATAAGTTGTGCTCGAGAAAGCCAGCGCGCCTGCAATTTTTTGTGTATGCAACATGATTATATATGTGATTTTATGCGAATGTCAACACATTCGCGCAAAATTCCGTCTCACACTCACGTGCACGATCTGCAGATTCTTGAGATTTTGTGAGTAATTCAGTAATTAATACTTCGCAGATACCTACTTGCCGTGGCCGAGATTTCGCATGCAGGCGATCGCGTTTAATCGTGAACTCCTCCGATTTCACGGAAAATCGATTACGTCGATGGATTTTTTTTCTGTGGATTCACACAGTTTGGCGAGAGCCGAGAGCTTGCGCTTGATCGCGACTACTTACAGGATCAGATCTTCACTGTCTTAAGGATTTTTAGAAGTGCGCGCCCACAGCGCAAAAAACTTATGGAAGCTTAATGGAGGGAGAAGGCGGACATATGTCGACGCGCTTTTAAGGTCTTTCTCCGGCGATCGCCGTTTTATTGCGCTTCCTTTTGACGATGCAGCGGGTGTGCGAGCACTTTCTAGACGAGTAAATTGAATCCATCACCTCCTATCTATAAGCCAATAACCGGTCTATCTTAAAAAATGTAACAATTCGGGGTTTTTGCCTTCTTATGCTTGATCAAATTTTTGATATATTTTGGAGAAGTTTTAAATCAATCGAAAGCAACTTTCATTCGACTTTTCTCTCGCGAGAATGTCTACCTTTTAACTCAAATTAATTACCCACGTGTATCGCAATACAACGTCGTTATCTTCCGGCCAAATTATGACAAGCGCCATGCGACGTCTCAAATTTTCCGCCGCCATTTTATTTTTTTACAGATAAATCGTCGGTTGAATCTGTTTGAAAATGTCACTGTATTTTATCGGCAGCACAAAGAAAATTCAGTGAAATTTTCGGACAGCTTCGTCGAACAATTTCTCTATGAAAAAATAAAATGGCGGCGGAAATTGTTAAACGTCGCATGGCGCAAACTCTGATACTTCGGCCGGAAGGTACCCACGAGGACAACATCGCCAGGAATTTCACCAGGCTATATTCTGGAAATGCTGCGCGTGTGGAAAAGCGCCTGGTATCTGAGAAGAGACTACAATGACCAAATTGCGAGACCACTTATCTACATTGCGGTGTTTCAAAATTTCCGCTCCTATTTTATTTTTTCCGGAGTAGACAAGCCAACTTCATAGCTTGAAATTTTTACGGAATATTCTGCTAATAGAGATGAAAAATCAGGGGAGTTTTCCATGAATTACGCTTACCATTTTTCCCAAGAAAAAATTAAGTATGACAGGACGTCTGCAACGTCGCAAACGGAGGTACGTGGTTAAACACTTTGGCCATCACTATGAGGTCATTACCTTCCGGCTAAAGTATCACAAGCGCCATGCGACGTTTAAAAATTTCCGCGGTCACTTTATTTTTTCACAGGGAAATTGTTCAACGAAGCTGTCCGAAAATTTCAATAAATTTTATTTGTGCTGCCGATAAAATTCAGTGAAATTTACAAACAGGCTCTACCAGCAATTTCTCTGTAAAAAATAAAATGGCGGTGGAAATTTTGAAACGTCACATGGCGCTTGTGACTCTTTGGACATCGCTATGAGGTCTTGTCGAACTGGGCTCAAAAACATTGAAATATGTTTGGCGCCGAGTGGCGCGCCGCCGCGCCGGCCGGCTGCGGCCGTATGCATAGAATCATCTTTCGACTTATTTTTATAATAGAGGAAAAATTTTCGCTCCTTCAGTGGGCGGCGTTGTGCGCGGCGCAGCATGGTAGGCGCCCGTGTCTTTCAAACACTCTTCAAAACCCACCGAAATGTGTCATCTGTGCTACATTATCCATCGTTAGCCCCGTTTTGCGATTGTTAGCCCTCTCGTCCATACAGTCTCCAGAGTGAGTAATTTTCACAATTTGCTGCTAATAAACTGAGCAAATAACGAGCTTCGCTTCAATTTTCTAGGTTGACCTGCTTTCTCTCGGATTCTAGGAATATAACCTTCTTTAGCTATTCTTTTTCATACACAGCGATGAAGACAAATTTTTCCGGTAAGTTTTCGTGGTATCAAGTTATAAAGCTTTAAAATTCTCCTCTTTCCCGAAAATAAAAAATGAGGGTCTTGAAGGACAAGACGCGTACGTGCAGTTTTTGCTATTCCGAGAGTTACGTGCGTATAAAGTTTCGAAATGACATGACTCCTTATGGCGGAAAGAAAGTTCAAACTCTCTTTTTAATGCTTAAAAATTGGAATTTTGGAGGGAATTTTTCACCGAAAATGCACTGAGACTAAGTAGTTTCAATTGAAATCATTAATATCTCATTTTTTTCAAAAACTGCACTCATGCGCCTTCTCCAATGCCCCTTAAATATACTTGCCCCCAAATGCTCTCGTCGGCGCGTCATTCATCGGGAAAAAAATCCTTAAAATAACTTGTCCATTTTTTCGGAAAGTAATTTTTTTTCAATATCATAAGTCAAGAACACGCGTGGGATTGGCTCCTCCTATGTGCAGAAACTATGAATTTTTGGTGACGGAAGATCAGTGTGCCAGACCATTTTTCAGTCCTCCCCCCCCCCCCCCATGGTAAAAACCATTATTTTATTGATTTTGAACTTTTTTAGGGAGGCATAACGATCTTTTGGGACCTCTCCGCGAGTCTCCCTCGTTTCCACCGGTTTTCTAACTCAGATGTTTTGATTTTTCATATCGCACGGGTGCATTCAGTCCCAAGACCATTTTGTTTCTTTGCATTCTTCAAAAATATCCGTCCTGATCCATCGAGTAGCACGACATTTAACTTCAAGTCACATTCAATGAATGTCATTCCTCTAAACACCGAAATATTCGCGTACACGATCATCGTCAGTGGCAGCGTGATGCCTACTCGTTGTTTTGAAGGCGATTTTAGCACACGCCGCGATTGAATTCCCCCGTCCAGTTTTTTCGCGGATTTTTGTTTTCAACCGCGAAATAGCGTAGGAAGATATTTGTATTTGTTGTGGAGATTTGTACCTCAGTCATTCGCGGTCTGACACTCTGGCATAAGGCCCAGATTGAAGTTCGCGTGTGCTACGTGTCCGCATGCACACAGTGGCAAATTTAAATTTATTTTTTTTTTTTTTTTTTTTTTTTTTTTTTTTTGGAAAGAGGAAAATATTGACGAAAATTGGAAGTGACAAACTTCCACTTTTGACAAGTGACTTGTATTTAGTACGATATCAAAACGCGTTTTGCTAAACCTATTAAGAAGGTATTCATGAGAAAACAGGCCGCGGGCAATAGTCCACGTATCCATGGTTACCGCCCTCGAGGACTTGAACTTCACGATCCGTAACTTTAGAAATAACCTAGCATTCCCTCAAAAGTACGAGTACTATTCAACTCCATCCAAAGGCCAATAGTGACAGGAGGTAATTATGGTTGAGTGAATTTAAATCGTAGACATCCTCCGACACCAGCGATTGATTTTATGACCGTCGATGGCTCAGCCAAATTTCACTCCAATCGCCGTGCGGGGCAATTTCTTGTACGATCCGTACTTCGCTTCGGCGCGCTCAACGATTCAACAGCTCGTACAGGAGATGCAAAAAGGAGCAGGGACCTCCACCGGCCCGGGGAGACCTGTAGAGATTTTTTGGCCCCCGGACAATATGACCAATCTCATGGCCATCATCAGTCAATGGCAGCAGGCACAAGCCTCCATTGGCCAACCTCAATGTTTCGCCATGCCTGCAGCTGCAGCCCCCGCGAACCCACCCACCGCTCTCAACACTATCTTCTTCTTCGATCCGATCAATTTCCAGGTAAGGGATTGCAACACTAATCGCAACACCACTAGCAAAATTTCACAGAAATTTTCGCGAAAGTTAAGTTTCGTAAACATATCTCTGTGTGGACAAGGTCCTCCATTCAGAAGAAATGAACCAAAAAATTATGAAAGAACAAACATAAATGTGGTTTAATAATTTAAACTTCCGCCGCTGCGCAGGGCTGATCGCACTGTGTTTGGCGCAATGCGTGAAGTATTCCTGCAGTCTTGCATTATGCGTTTCACGCCAACCGCTCCTGACGGCACTGTGTTTGACGCAACGGGTGAAGTATTCATGCAGTCTTGTAGGCGCTAATATGTGTCACATGTCGACCGCCGCGCCGCGCCGTGCCGAGGGCTTGTCCTTTTCATCTCAAGTCCGAGGAGATGACATCATTCCTCTCTGCGCTGAGCTCCAGGCCAAATTGCGTGTTTAGTTTCTCTCTTAACTCGACTAATTAAAGATGCTGTCTCTTGTATCACCGAAAAACGACAAAATTAGAAATTACTATACTCTCAGGAAAGAAAGATTTTGTCCCCTTTTCTCATTGATAATTTTTTTTTCTGAATCCGATTTTTTTTATACCTACATTTAAAAAAATTGCAAAATTTGCCGCCATGGGCCGCGGCCCATGTGGCCAACCCCTTAATCCGGCTCTGCTGGACAGATTTTTTTCTTCCTTTTTCGGTTCAAGTAAAACAGTTCGTATGCAATTTTTTCATAAAATTTTTACAATTTTGTAGAGGAGGTCAAATTATTGATTTTTTACCATGTTCAATATCATTGTCCTGCATCGGACTCGTGAGTGAAACGGGGGGGGGGGCAAAAACTACCTGATTCTCTTCAGAAAATTTAAGGGCTTTTCAGGAATAAGTGAGTAAAATTTCTGTCTTCTACTGAGTTGTATTTAAATAGATTTTTCGGTCAGAACAGCTCAAAATTGCTCCTAAGACGTCTCATTCCTCAAAAAATTTTCTGAGGAGCCCCGAGTCCCTTCAGATACCAGAACCACCTAATGGGATCTTTTTCTTTGCCCCCCGATAAGGTGCCCCCACAAACGTTTCTTGTTAGTGCTAACTACAAGCCATGATTAGATTCCACCTTCATTTCGTCACCTCCCGGCCAAATTATCATAAGCGCCATGCGACGTTTCGCAATTTCCGCCACCATTGTATTTTTTTACGAAAAAATTGTTGGTTCCTTGAATCTGTTTTATAATTTCACTGAGTTTTATCGGCAGCACAAAGAAAATTCAGTGAAATGTTTGGACAGTTCCGTTGAATTTCTCTGTAATGAAATAAAGAGGCGGTGGAAATTTTGAAACATCGCATGGCGCTTGTGATACTTCGGCCGACAGGTGACGATGTGTATAAGTACGTATCGGATAGATGTTCGTAGATGTTCGAGGATTTCATCCATCGGAGATTAAACTCAGCGTTAGTTGTAACGTCGTTGAGGTGCGCGTCTGTCACGAGGATTGCGAGGTGAACGTGAGCTCAGCCAACTATGCCAGTCGGACGATTTCCAAAATTTATCGGCTACCGCGACAAGTTGTCACGGAGAAATCGCAATGCAGCCTCTCCAATGACGGTACCCTTATCCTCGCTGTCCCTTGGCTTCAACAACCTCCTACTCCCATGCAAACCTGATCCAAAAGACTACCTGAAAAATGTTCAGCCTCCCCTATTTCCAGTTTATGCCAACCGTTGGTTCATACGACTCGCGTTCCATTTCCACGTGGGTAAGCTTTTGAAATGAGATATTCGTCTGTGAGTAGGATTAGTTGGATGACATTTTGCAGTAAGGGACCACTATCCCTGGCCCTCCTATAAAAGCAAATTTCTGCAAAGGGAAACCGATGGCATGTATGCTGCTTCTAAAATGAGGCAGAATTCCTTATCGCAAAATGTGGTCCAGATAAAAGAGTGAAGTCAAAAAGAGCAATTGTCAACGCTGGCAAGCTTGTTCTGGAGGGCTTTGAAATAAAAATGAAAATTTCGACGTACTTTATAATAAGTTTATCTCACGGAATTAAAAAAAAAAAAAAAAAAAAAAAAAAAAAAAACCGATTGTTTCCTGGTGCGTTGACGTATTTTTGTAAAAATAATTTTATCTATTATTTTATCATTGAAATTACCTATTGCTGTATATCTATTAATATTTTTGTGAATGAATGCGTGGATAATATAAAATTATTCTTTCTCTTCGTGCGATCACCACTGTGGCGCCTGCAAGAAAAGTAGGTAATAGAAAAGTCCTCCATTAATTACTTACTTTTAACTCGATGCGCTGAGAGATGATCATTCATCTGAAAATTACGAGTATAAGTGGAGATCAAAAGTTGCGAAGGTCACTGCCGTGAGTAACTCAATCCTTTTTCTCCATTTTGAGCTGTCCGTGCGCTCCAAATAAGGACATCAGGAAATTTGAATGTTAGCGCCATGATCGGTAAACGGATAGTTACATAGTTGCCGGTTTGTCGAAATATCGTCAAGAGACAAGCGTAGAAAATGCATTTTCGAGGGATTATAGTTGTTTCTCAGGAACAAATATCGAAATTATTGATGTTACCCTCATTTTCAGAAAAATCCAAGCAGTTGAACCAATTGGAAAATTAAATTTACACAGATATCCCATAAATATCTAGACAGTTTGGCAACCGGCATACTTCAGTCTGAAGCCGAAAAGTTGTGTTGTGATTACGCTTAACCTAAAATAAAATAGTTATCTTTTATCTCCGCGTTATCTACCTATTTGGTGCTTCTGTTTTTAGGACCAATGTTGCTGTGATTCTATATTAAGACTCCTTACAATTACTCGTCTTTGCGTCCGTTTTTCCAGGCAGAAGGATGTCCTACTCAAATAGTGAGTATTATTTACCTCTGAATCACTTGGTGAAATTGAGGTTTCACTCCTTAATGAGTCATGCAAACGTATCCAAAATGCCGTTTCGCCGGCTCGGTCGCATTTGCAATTTATATCATGCCCTATCATCATTAGGAATACCTCAGAACTCTTCAGGATCACTATTACTTACTGTTGCGGCCAATGCGATTGATCTCAGTGCTCTGAAGAATGAGTTTCCTTCCAGTTCCCTCGCAATGCTCATGAGGTTTCCTATGTGTAAGGCTTATCATGACTCATTCATTTGAACTGGTGAATTTCCAACTGACTCTTAAAACTTTTCCATAATATCCATAAATCCATAAAACTTTTTAATTTTCATCCTGTTCATCTGATGAAAATTTAGTATTACTGCAAGAATATACCAGTGATTTTATTATCGGACTACTTTTGGACGTCTAGAGGCAAAATTTTATCTCACACGGTTAGTTACTACGAACTGGAGGCCTGTTTCTCAATGTCTGACTCATTTAACTTATTTCCTCTAAATTTGATTGATTCATTGACATTTAGATTTGCATCTATGAAAGATGAACGCGATAACGTAGAAGGATTCTACCAAAGACTACGGTGTAGCTAAATTTTCAGTAGGTATTAAGTATTTCAAATGATGTTCTTTACATGCCTGTGAGCATGATAATGTTTTCAGATTGAACTTTCAATATAAGTGTCAAGAAAAGCAGTGCCAAAAAGTTAATTTTTCAGTTTTCTTACGCGTACTTTCATGTGGGCCTGCTGCAGTGTGAGTCAATACTACATCATATTTCGTTATCATTTGAAGGAATTTGATTCCTTTTATCTGCCCTATTTTCCTGGCCAGGGAAGAGAGGAATGCTCTCCCCAGACACCAATTCTAATGTTGCAACATTTCTAAAAGATAAGGCATCAAAAAATGCTGAACAAATTACTTTTCAACCTAGCCTCTCCAGGAATTGACTCATAGAGAATTTGATCCTTTGAAACTTATCGTTCCTGAGAGATTGCAAAGAGCATCATATCAAGTAGGTATTGAATTTTTTGAAATTTTGCTTTAATTTTTCAATCAATATTCTTTTTTTGCAGAAAGTATCTATGCAGCATTGCCCAAGACTGAGCGAGGCAATCCAATTGTTTTGGGTGGAGATCCCAAGGGAAAGAACTTTCTCTACACCAATGGGAATAGTGTCATTATCAGAAATATAGAGGTAAGGAATCTTGTTTTCATTTTGCCTAAAATGAAAATTAGGGATTGGAGTTTGGCTGTAATATAATTTGTCTCAAATTATGATGGCAGTCAGACTAGTACTCCTATCTCCTTCATCAATGCCTAATGGCCTTATTTTAAGGGTCTTAAACTTTTTAATCACTCACATAGCTTGGGTACCAGGTTCATTATTCTCTTTTAAGAGGACGATCCTGGTAAGTCATAAAAATTCACAATTTCCGGAGAAAAAATATCCAGTGAAAAGAATATTGGCAACTTGAAGTTCTGTATTTAGGAAACAAAAAACTGTTGTTTCTGTATTAGGTAATTATAGGAAAGACTTTCGAAATTAATTTATGGTTCCCATTTGTTTTTAAGAGAATCATCTCAGGTTTAGAAAAAAACCAATATGACTGGAACAGATTTTTAAATTCTGTGCAAATCTTGACCACAAGTTGAATTTGACTGAAATCAAGTCTATTCTAATTGTATTAGTTGTACCACATTGTTTTCGCCTGCAACAACAAGTATCATGTATATTGTGCCCAAATTTTACAGAATCCAGCCATCGCAGATGTTTACACAGAGCACTCCTATACTGTCAATGTTGCCAAGTACTCGCCAAGTGGATTTTATATCGCATCTGGAGGTATGATTATTTTTCCTCTCTGTTTAGTGCACGAAAATTTTTTGTAAATACTCTTCAAATTTTTTGTCTTCAAAGTAATACGTGACTCAGACTGGCTCCTAGAAAAGGAGCCTCAGTGCACAGAGGTAAATTTTTTAAGAAAGTGACTTTGTCATTTTAGGTAAAAACAAATAAGTATGAAAGCTGAGCTACCAGAAATGTTGTGCTTTGAGCATTGCAAATTACAATGATTTTAATGTTCCTCAAACTTTCCGTTTCAAGCTGGAAGCTTTACAATTAGGTTACCGCCGTTTAGTTTGACGTTTTTGGATATTTTTTTGTCCTGAAATTTTTGCGAAGCATCACTTTATGATCTCTGGTACTCGCAGTTCAATTTTGGCTTCTGTGGACTGATGTCCTCACATCCACGGATGGCCACATTTAAATGGGAAAAAAGCTGCAAAGTACAAGAAGTAGAAAAATTTTCAACTTTTTTTACAATTTATTTATTTATTTATTTAAGCTTTGAGACTTAAAGCCCCTGTGACATTGAAGTGTTTTTGGTGCATAGATGTTTCAGGAAGAGTGCGGATTTGGGACACAGTTAATAAAGAACATCTTCTCAAAAATGAATTCACCCCTCTTGGAGGACCCATCAAGGACATTGCCTGGTCCTTTGATAATGCTAGAATGGTCGCTGTAGGTGAAGGTAGAGAAAGGTAAACAGAAGAATATTTTTTTACACTCATTGAGTCATTTCATTATCGAGCCAGCGTTGCTTTTCTGTGGCTTGTACATTACTCAACTGAATATTTTATATTTTCAAGCCGTAAAATTGGCATGTTTCGCCTCAAAAAATGAAGTAGGAACAGAAATTTTGAAAGATCGCATTGAAGATACCTATGTTTTTTCCAACTTGACCATTGATGTGGTTTTCTGAGCGTTTAGTCTAATCTATCCTGTTGGAGGCCACTTGTCTCTTGTTTCAGGCAGATAGTTTTCTGTGATAGCAATTTGTAAGTGTATTGCAATACCCAACTAATCAATCAAAAAGAAGTATTCGAATGTATTGGCTTTTGAAATTCCTGGCTTTGATATTTATTGTCTTCCATGTATTTCCAGTCATTTTTTTGTACTGCTCCAGCATGAAATCTCATGAATCAGCTTTAATTCGTCATGAAATCTTTGTTCAATCAACACACCGCTAATAGAGCCTTGGAAATTTTAAATTAAAAAAAAATCTATTTACTCCAAAAACAAATATTTTGATCAGATGTCCTCATTCTCTTCCTCTGATTTATTTCTAGATTTGGACATGTTTTCATGTCTGACACTGGAACCTCTGTCGGAGTAATATCTGGTCAGTCTAAACGAATAAATTCTTGTGACTTCCGCCCAAAGAGACCTTTTAAAATTGTAACTGGTAGTGAGGATAATACAGTAGCCATCTTTGATGGACTTCCTTTCAAATTCAGTCGCACAAAGCAGGTAAGCTATAATACAATATTTTGAAGAGGGTTTAGTAAATTTTTTATCTTTAGCCTTAAAGATGGACGTATCATGTGTCTTTGCAGTCTCCCAGTGTCTCTGATCTCTCCAAATCCTCTGAAATCCGATAATTGAGTTTATCTCGTGATAATTAGTCTGCCAATTGAGTGTTCTGTTTTCACAAGCCTGGCAAACTTTCAAGCAATTTTTCAAAGAGGCTGCATAAAGTAGGTATTTAATGCAAATTAAAGAAGAAGAAAAATTAGATCTTTAATCAATGTAACGAAACCTAATTTTTTTATCTTCATCTTTTTGTTGTTTGTTTGTTTGTTTGTTTGTTTGTTTGTTTTTTTTTCGTCTCACCATTTGATAAAATTGTCCAGGCTATAACGGGACGATTATAATATTTGATATTTTAATGTGCATAGAATTTGTAAAAAAGTTTTTGTCTGCTATTGCTTACTCTCAACTTCCTGTACTGTTTAATGCCCATTATATTCAATTGCAATTTAATGGAAATTTGCATGTTACATAACTTAGTTTCGTTTTTTATTTCAGGATCATTCAAGATTTGTTCAAACAGTTCGCTACTCGCCAAATGGAGACATATTTGCCTCTGGAGGGTTTGACGGTAAAGTTTTCCTGTATGATGGTGCTACAGAAACTTGTGATCTCATCAGTGAATTAGGCAGTCCTGCCCATAAAGGTGGTGTGTATGCGGTAAGTACAAATATTCTGCATCTTTTAACGAGGCAATTACTCCAGTGAATGCTGCGTGACTTGTCTTTTAACTTGAACCGCCCTTAGATGGTATGCCATATTGCAGATAAGAGAGGGATCCAAGATGAATTTTACCATGAAAACGAAAAATATGATAATTAGATCAGATGTTTCTTTCAACCTTTTCTTCATTATCCTCTTATCACTGAGATAAGGTGTCAGTAAATGAAATTTCGTTGTTGGGTGTTGAAGTCCAGAATTTCTGTCCACTGATGAAGGTATGAAGCGCTTTTGCCGCACTTGACTTTTTTTGAGCTGATTTTTTGATTTTCCAAGTTGATCAATTTACCAGATTTTACTATGGTATTTGTTAGATCAAAAAAATCGAAATTTTACTTTATTTATTTATTTTGTGTGTAAAAAATATCTTATATATCCTCTTCAAAGTTATTTTGTATATCTTTTTAGGTATCATGGAAACCAGATGGCAAACAATTACTAACTGCTTCAGGTGATAAGACTTGTAAGATCTGGGATGTTGAAACAAAACAAGTTGTCACAGAGTTTGTAATGGGCACGCAAGTAGATGATCAGCAGGTAAATTAGTAAATTTTGAATTATGCAACACTAAATTTTTTAGAATAGGCAGTGAGTCATTTCAAACCAGGGAAACTACTCAATCCATTAGTGGAGTAGTCATTTTTGAGTGATTTATTTATGAATTTTGCAAATTATGCTCTTTCTTGCTTTGAATGTTAAAATCTTTCTACTTATAAAAGAGGTCCCTCCAAACTCCTATCCCAAAAATGTCCTGTATGCATTTCAGGAGGAAATTGCACACAGGGAATCGCATTTTTGTCGTTTGCTTTGAAATATAAGCACAACAACCTATTGCCAGCAGGTGCGGTGGCCAGTCTCTACTTCTCTACATAATTCTATTTCTAAAAAAAAAAAAAAATTTGGAAATTATACCAAAGAGGGCTTAGAATTACTATAATTGTATCTACACCTTTCAATGCCTTTAATATTTTTATTGCTTCAAACTTTATCATTGCCCTAACTCATGAATTACTTACGAATGACTACTATATTATCATTCAAGTAGAATTTTGTCAGCTAGTATTTGACAGCATTAAGCCAACCTAGACCACTAGTTATTCATAATTATCATTTCTTTGTCATTATTTTTCAGGTATCTTGCTTGTGGCAGGGCGATTATCTTCTTTCTGTCTCTCTGAGTGGTTTTATTTCATACTTGGACATCAATAATCCTAGTAAACCTATTCGAATCGTCAAGGTAAGACATTTTAGAAGTTTCATTTTCAACAATCTTCAACAACCACTTGTTAGTGTAATTTGCAGTAGGACTATATTAAGGATTTTCCTCTGTGTTTTTATTCTGTAATCGCTCATTACCAAATTACCATCACACATCCACAAATAACAACTGATTTTGAAGGATCTCTTGGGAATCAACATTCACTAACACTCTAATTTCTGTCCTAAAAATGAAAAGTCTCTTGATTGTGAAACTGGAAAAACACGGATCCCCGTTTGTCACATTGCAGTTTTGCTGTACTGTTTTAATTTTTCAGAGGATGACCTATAATCGCTATTGCACAAAATTTTATTTTATTTTTCTTTGCCTTTTCAAGAATATTTGGTGCAAATTTCAAGGAATGTACTCAGTTTATTCTTCTTTAACACATTGACTGCTATGCTGGTCGTAACGACTGGCATTGGAGATTTCTGCAAGCACCACTGCTTGCCCTGAATGGGATGCGGTCGCTCCCATTAAAATGTACCTGTAAGGTAGCGGTCGCCTGAGCCATGTATATGCTTATAGCTATTGGAATGGTCCTTTTGGGAAAAATGCTCCTTTGAACTTCTGTTTTTGGTTTTGTTTTTTAGAGGGGGAGGGCGTTGTAATGCCTGGGGAAATAGGTACTCAAAACTTAGTGGCAGGCAACGGTTAAGGAACCAAAATGTGAGTGGAAATTTTAAAATTGTAATACGTGTCTCTAGTTTCATGATCATCATATTAAATGTATGATGTAATCAGAGGGATCACAGTTATTTTTAGGAATTGTCTCGCATTTTATGTGTAGTTGTCAGTAATCATGACATTTATACAGCTCTTAGTATAGTATCAACTATTGTTCTCAAAATTTTTTCATCCTGTGATATGTAGTTTACTCATACTGGTTTACCTTTGTTTTAGGGTCATAAAAATCCTATCACTATTTTAGAAGTAAGCTCGGATAAGAAAACAGTTTACACAGGTTCACATGATGGGTATATTACTTCTTGGAACACGAAAACTGGTAAGTACAGCCTGATCCTTTTACAACCTTTTCTTTATCAGTGAAAGAGTTGGATTGCATTTTGTAAAAAGAAACCAAGAGCATTCCAATGTTGCTAGGATTGTGCAACTTTCATTCTTTGCAATTAATTTACTGAAATTACGCAAAAGTTTTACAAAAGCAATTTTCGTCTTGAATTTATAGTTTATTGATGAAACTTGTTTAGGTGATCAGTTATATTTGCAAGGTAGAAATGTTGCACAATCTTAGCGACATTGGAATGCTCTTGGTTCCTTTTTGCCCAATGCAACCTAGTTAAAGTTAGCCTCGATGTTGATCCTCTGATCAGTTACAGGTGTGTGCTCACAAGTATCGAACAGATGACAACGACAGAAATCTCAATTTTTGCAGGCTCAGTTTGAACTCAAGAAGTAAATGTCAAGGAATAGTATCACTTCACAGATAAATGGCCAATCCAAGAGAAAACAAAGCTTAATTGAATAAGTCAAGGTTGCCTCCAGGAATAGGGGAAAAAAAGCGAAATAAAAAATAGAGTGGTAAACTTTGAGGTTTCTGGGCTGATTGAAAAATGGTTAAAACTTACGTGAAACCAAGCAAAAAAAAATAATTAGTCTTGTAACACTCTGCTGAACACACTTTCAACTGCTATAATGCTGTGTAAAGTTAGCAGATATGTGCACTTTTCCGCCCGAGAGTGTTACAAAATTCATGGAAAATCTAATTAATTGTCAATTTCTCAATATTTTTTGCTGAATTTAATTCTGGATGAGAGCTTTTATTCTTCGTTATTTTTATTCGTCCCTTTACTTTTTCTCTGTCCAGGTGAGAATGACAGAATTGAAGGAGATGGCCATGGTAATTTGATCACTGGGATCAAAGTCTCAAAAGATTCTTTGTACACTTGTGGTATTGACGACTCTTTGCGGCAAATTGATGTATCAGAAGGTCGTTATGTCTCCATCGTCTCAAAATTAACTTCTCAGCCTCTTGGTATGGATGTGTATGAAGATATAGTTGTTGTCGCCACTGTGAAAGAGGTATGTCTTACGAGAGGACCTTCAATTCTGTGATATTTTTTTTTAAATTATCCAGGAACATCAGCAATCAGTTCCTCTCATAAGAGACATAGAGAAGCGTACATAGTGAAAACACTAAGTGAGTTTGAAATGAGGAAGATGTTTTTGGAAGAGAAATCATATAGTAGTTTTAATTTTTTAATTTGAATTTTTATCAGTCCTATCATTGCTCATCAAGCAATTTAACTATTCAAATGTACAAAAAGGTCCAAGCACCTTAAAAAGAAAAATTAAGGTACTGAAAAATTATAGTTGCCAAGACGTAGGACTTTTGCAGGCTGCTACCATAAATTTAGGAGTTAATTCTCCACGATTGCACAAAATCGTAGGGTATTTTATGGCTGATGATACTACACAGAGATAATTTGACAGTTCCCTCCTCCAATTTTGGGTCAAAAAGTTGTAAAAACTGCTTTTAATGACTGAAAACTTCAACTTTGTTCTTTCATTCACAAAATAGCCGAAGTGTCAATTTGTATTTTTCTTTGCCTTCGGTTAAAACTGCACAAACGTTTTCCAAAGCATCCTGATCAAATACAGTTTGATTCTCTTCACAAGCATCAATCTTGGTGAACTTGAAGATTTACAACATTTTAAATAAAACTTTCTATGGTTTTCTCTTTAATTTTTCTATTTTTCTTAATTAGATACTCTCTTAAATAAATGGGTCAGTTTAGTGAAAGTTTTGTCCCCTCATATTCACAGACCAAAGCCAGAATTCTGGTTTAATGTATGATTTTTGAATGAGCTAGAAATGTGCTACTCCAATTTCCTCACTGGAATAGTCAATAGATTTGAATCTGAGATCATACTAAAAATTTCTTCTATCTATTTAGCTACATCTAAAATGTAGGCCCTAAAAAAAGTTACATGTCAGTTCTTCACCATAAAAAAGAATTTTTTTAAAACAAGGTTTTTAAGTTCCTCTTTTCAGTCATCTTCAAAGTCATTAAAATGTAAATTAACTTAAATTTATGTTTCTATTTTCAGCTAACAGTCTTCCAAGGCAATCAAAAGGCGTCAAGTCTCTCCATCTCGTATGAACCATCCTCTGTGGCAATAAATAAAAAATATCAATTTGTTGCAGTTGGAGGCTCAACTGATGACAAAGTAAGGCAAAAGTATCCTATTTTTAATTTTCATCCCATACCCTTACTTGACCATAATTTATCATGATAGCTTTACACTACACAGCATGCTCTCTCCTCTATTTTCTTTGAATTAGGGCAGGAGGAGTGAGTCTATACCAGTCTTAAATATTATTTTCTCAGGAGAGGGGAGTTTAGGTACCTCATGAATGGAATGGAGGAGCCTAAAAATTGAAATAAGGGCTCCATGTAATTTATCACCACTTGGGCATTTTTGCTTGAAAATTTCCTCCCTTGTAACGTTTTTGTGATGTAGGTCCCTATTTTAAAAAAATTAAAAAATCGTTAAACGCTCTCCTTTATCCCTCCTCTCTAAAGCACCATGTATTTTCTAAATGGTCCCAAATGATGATTGCTCAATTGGTCACATTTTACTTATTGACCAATCATCATTTGGGACCATCTATAAAATACATAGCACCTAAGGGGGGGAGGGATAAGGGAGAGGGCTTTGCGATTTTTTACGTTCCTGATTCCGCGTAAAGTAACACACATTTTATGTAAAGTCACATTTTACGTAAGTAAAATGTGACAAGGAATTCAAAATTTTGTAGGTTTACTTTCACCAGTAACTTGGCCAGCATTTTAAATGTAAACGCAAGGATTTTGTTTCCTATCGCATCATAGCAGTTTTAGGATTACAATTTTCCGAGTACTGGAAGAAGCAATAAAAAAACACTTGAAGCATGGCCCGAAATGTGTGTAACAAGGTGGTAAAATTCTGCTGGGTCCACAGTATATTGCGTGAAAAACAAAGCCAAAAATTTTAATTTGAGTCAAATTTTTTTGGCTCTAATGAGTACCAGTACAAAACTGAGAGGGAAAAGTGTTCAGCTCAGGCAGTTTGCATTGAACTATTAAGTTGAGGTGACGCTGAGAGATCTATGAATTTGGGGTCTTTTTAGACCTCATCAGTAGATAACACTCCTCAGTGAGCCCAATTTAGCATCCCACAAAATCCGAGACGGCATAGAATTGCTGTTCATGGATATAATGCGAGGCATGACACAACAGAGTGATCCTCGCGTCATCTACCGTAGCTGCTAAACAACTCTCAGAACAAAGCAAGGAAAACCCAAAAATAAATGATTAACTGGTGATTAGAGTCGCAAACGCATCTAGACTCAACCACCCGCTCTCGAACAAGAAAAGCACGTATCCCCAAATTGTCCGTTCAAACTAAAAAAAACACTAGAAATGTGGCCCAAACTAAATTTGACAAGGTGGTACTGGAAGAAATCATAGCATCACAAATAAGGGAGAAGAGAGTCTCAAGAACTTAGTGTGAACTATTTTTTCAACCTTTATTGAATTCCGGAATGTCATTACTGACACAAAGATAAGCTATGACCGAGGTAACCTCTAGAGCTTTTATGGTCTAGGAAACATTTTCCTTTTTTATATGTAGACTTAATCTATTCAATTCTATTAAATTGCACAGGTCCACATTTACAAGTTGGATGGAGTCAATCTTTCTCCCGTCACAGAATGTTCTCATCTAGGAGCTATAACTGCTGTATCCTTCTCTCCGGATGGAGAGTACTTAGTTGCAGCTGATTGTTATCGCAAAGTCATACCGTACAAAGTGCCAGAATTTCAAGTGAGTAACTTTTTTCCAGACTTTGTCAGGAGATATTTTCAGGCAGAAGATTATTTTAGACATCAATCTATTTTTAGACAATCTATAAAATGAGAATGTAACGAAATCAGTCAACAACAGTTGAATGCAGTGAAAATTTTATTTTTGATGAGATCATAATTCAAAATGAAAAAAAAGAACCCTATCATCAAGGGGTAACATAATTTAAACGTAAAAGTTTTGCTCCTACTCCGATCAGAATTTTCCATTTGCTGGGATATCAACTGATTACGCCATCTTGGAATTATGTTCCTTCTTATATTTTCTGCATGCTCGTGTTATAAAAGTATATCTGGCTGTAAAGAGGAGCATGGGAGGGTTTCAATAAATTTTAATTCCAAAAGATTGCATTCTCGCAACATGGTTTTAATGGAGTGTGTTTTGTGGAGGTACAAAGTATTTTATTGCTGTAACTAGCAAGCAGAATGTAATACTATAAACGATATTAAAGTATGAAATTTAGACATAAATTTTAATCACAATTTCAATTTGATCTTGCGATCCTCCTAATTTCAACACATTTTTCATAATTGCTATTTCCATCTTATAGTATGCTTGTATAAGAATAACATGTGAAAAGTTATCAAAGTTTGTAATAATGGACTTCTTTTCAGTTGGCGCACAACAAAGAATGGGGTTTTCATAACGCAAGAGTCGATTGTGTTGCATGGTCCCCCAACTCAAGACAGGTTGCCAGTGGCAGTTTAGATACTAGCATTATCATCTGGAGTTTGGATCATCCTGCCAAACACACCATTATCAAGAGTGAGTGGGTTTATACTTTATCGTCAGGTGTAGCTGCTGGTACGTCGCTAGCTGGTCGTAGGTGTAGGTGCAGGTCCAATGCTGATTTACTAGCTCCTAAATCTTCAATGGTTTTCTTTGTGTTCTTTTTAAAGTTCTCAAAATAGTTCAGACTCTTTTCCTTCCCTCAGTTTTCCCTCAGAGTTTGAAGGCTGGTTTGGACAGAGATTGCTGCTCGAGCGCTGCTGAACTAGAGGACCAAGCAATAAAATAACGTGACTTGGTTTAGAACAATTGAAGTAGTATTCCCAAACTTACCAAGCAGATAGAGTTGTTTTACACAATGTCTTAAGTAAGAATGGGCCTGTTGCATGCAAGAGATACAGCCGCGCGAATAGACTTTTTAGGGGTTGAATGACACGAAAATTACGATGGTCTCATTAAGGAAGTCTGAAATACACTCCTTACTGCGCAATTTGCGTTGTTAGGAACGCGCTTTTTCAAATTTCCCGCGTCTGGGGGCAGTTTTCGAATCACCGGAAACGAGCAAACGGCGGGCTCGGTGATTTCCGGAAGATGCCGAGTCGTTGTTGTTGTTGTTATTTTTTCCTTCAGTTTGTTTACAAACCCAACGTGATCTCTTATAGTGGTCCATGTACGCTTTATGCGGTAACCAAATCGATCAACTTTTAAATATCCAACGCAATCCTTCTACCTTTCATTTCACGATATCACAAGCTCCGATTTTTAGGTTATGTTGTCAGTTTTTTTAGTTGACCGGAAATAGCCGCGAGTTGCCGTTAGAAAACTGCCCCCAGACGCGGGAAATTTGAAAAAGCGCGTTCCTAACAACGCAAATTGCCCAGTAAGGAGTGTATTTCCGACTTTTTTAATGTGACCATCATAATTTTCGAGTCATTTAACCTCTGAAAAGTTGCATTCTGCAAAAAAAAAAAAAAAAAAAAAAAAAAAAAAAAAAAAAAAAAAATCTGTTTTCAGGAGGGCCAAAATATTTCAACTTGCTTTAAAACATTAAATGAACCCTTAGCTAAATTTCGGTAGTGCCTTTTGATTTTGCCACCGAGTCGCCTAAACTTCTTCAAATTTCATATGTTTCTCCATCCAACATACCTTACCAGCTCTTGAATATTGCGTGCATGTTTTTTCTCACGCTTCCAAATTCATGTGGACCTTTTTTTTTTCAATTTGCCTCGTTGATTCCCAAAAATTAGAATATCTATGGCCCACTTCTTCAAACCTACAAAATGAAAGTTGTTTGGAAAGATTAAAATTCGTCTTAAAATGTCAAATCACTTAACCACAGGTTTTCTAAATTTGGAGGATCCCCTTACAGTGTCATCATTTTATTTACAGATGCACACCCGCAGAGCAACATAACAAGCGTGGCCTGGCTGGACGATGAAACTGTTATTTCTGTTGGTCGTGATTGTAACACCAAAATTTGGGAAGTTGCACCAATTTCCTGAACTAATCATTGTTAATATTTTATATTGTAAAATTTTGGTGAGTACATAATTAACATATCACTGTTTTATTTAACGGGATGGAAACAAAAACAAACCTCTGTCCTTACTCATCATTTTTTACCCTGAACTCTAAAATTGTTTTACCTCAACAACTACTTCAATCAAAGTTCTTTTTAGGGATGCAAGTAATGAATTAAAAATGAAAGCTCACCTTCTTAGATTAATGAGAGGAATAATGAAGTAAAATAAGTTTGGAGCAAGCATTTAAATTTTACAATGAGGAGAGTTATAACACTAACCTAACTCATTTTAAAATAATGGCAGTTGAAAATCTTGAATTAATTTTCTCTTCAAAATTTCATCTCTACATTCTCGTGTTCCTCTCATCAATTAAGATCTTTTGTCTCTCTCTTGCAACATCTTCATGGGGCTGTTTCAAAATTCAAAAATTGCTTTGCAGGTAGGCATTTCTACAGTACAGTCTATTGAGAAACACGTTTCGGCACTGCAAAGAGCTGAGAACAGCTTTTCAACCGAAAAAAAGGAGCTTTAAGCAGTAGTTGCTTCTAGGAGCATTTCTTGTTGGCCTGAAGCCCATGGTGTCATATATGGTGACGACCCATGATTTCAACCGCCTTGAATCCAATGCAACATGGCCACCGTATAATTCAAATCAAGACAAATGTATAAAAATAATGACAGAAACATTAATTTCTAACAGGAATAAAATGGCAAGCATGGTCAGGATATATTACCTTTTTTCGCAATTGCAATCTGAAAGTATTCCCTCAAATGCTGGTGAAAGGATACATGGAGGTCAATTTTTCTCATGAAATTGAAAATCTGTTGATGCAATAGTCTTCTTTTTGAAATGGGCATGGATTTTCGACGATTTTGGGAGTCTTTCTCTCTGTTGAATTTTGATCGAATCCAAAACAGAAAAATGAAGGTTTTCTATATTTTTACATTCTTCCGGAAAATGAATAAAAAAAAATTGCACAACAGCCTCATTAACATAGCAATGTAGAGGTCATTGTCTTAGATCCTGCACTTATGCTCTTCTGTTTTCCAAGTGAAGGCATTGGGGCTTGTAATCAATTCTTTATCTCTAATGACACTTTCTATTTTATTTCAGGTCCTCATAAAACTTTTTCTATCATTGTGCTTTTCATCTTCCCTCAAGTGCTGTTGTCTCAACTTCTGGTATCATCCAATTCATTACCTCTTGCCATTAGTTGGTAAGTTTAATCATCCAGAGTGTTCCAAAAATTCTTCTTAACAATCTTTTAGTTTGTGTTGCATTTCCCAGAAAAAATGTATTTACCAGCATTGCCTGCTGTTCGGTTATTTTCAAGCTATCGTACTAAACAGTCAATTTTCTGGAAGAAGGCCCTCAATTTTTATTTTTCAGACTGAAGCCTTTTTCTCGCTCAGTTTCTATGTGCATGTTTACAGCTCATCCTACTCTCTCTAAAAATTCGAACATCAAGTTATCGGTAGTGGTCTTACTTGTAATTGAATATGTGTGTCGACCTATCCCACAACAGAAAGGATTGCATGGTTTTCCCTCAGTATGGATGATGCTGAAAAATCTCTCCTTTCAGGATTTTCCAAAAGTGATCAATGTAGACTCTGTGGAAATGCTCAGAAATAGTAATAGATTGATTAAGTAATTCTCGTACAAAGTGAATAAATGTGCCTCTACTTGTCATCTGTTTTCATACATACTGCCTCAGTTTGTGCTCAGACTGTGAACTCAGGAGTTTAAACTTCCTAAGTTTAATGTGATTCATGATTGCCTGTACTTGTCAGAGTGATGCATACTTGTACTATTTTTTCGGACCCTCAGAAAATATGGGTATGAACTGAAAATGACAGAATATTGAATATTGCACTAAATAATTGGTTCTCGCTTACTGTTTTACAACTTTTCACAATCAAAATAAATCATATTTTGTTCATAATCACTGAATCTCGTTCAAATTGAGTTACTGAGTTAGACTCAGGAATTTCGTCAAACTTGACTGAGCATTGAAGTATGGAATCCTGTAAGATCTGAATTTATTTTCAATTGAACTGTTAGTTTAAGCTGATCAGAATCTAGGAAGATATTTTAGATATATCTCTGTTTTCTTAACAGCTCCTTCCCACTCTCAGGATTTTGCATTCTGCATTTAATAAACTTTGTCGGTAAAATACATTGATAATCCACTTAACCGCCTAACATTCATTGCATTCATTGTCAGACTGAAATTTACATAGTGGTTTTTGTTAGTCAAGTTTTATAACGTCTCTTAAGGTGAATAAATTAACTCATTATTTTATTGTATTGTGAAATAAAATTTATCAGGGCAAACAACAAAAACTTGTTCAAAATTTTCTGGATCATCATAATCTATATTAGTGAAATAATTTGTTTTATTTACTAATATGAACAACCAAAAAACATATATCTGGGAACAAACAGCATTTACTTTTTTTTTTATTTCTATGGGCAATCCCCTCTCCCCCCTTTTTTTACTTTTCTAGAGAAGACACATTTTTTTGTCCTCTCCTATTCCTTTATTTTGAAACTACTCTTTGGTAAACTTTAATACAAATAAAAAAATAGTGACAAAGATGGTCTGGTCACTCATTCTTTTCTGTCAAATTACACCCGAGATCACTAAAGAGAGAAGCAATAAACATGGATATTGAATGTCCTTTGTGAAAAATACAAGCTTTGAACGAGTGAATTTTACTAGATGACACATGATTAGGTTTTATCAATTTCTTCTTTGTTTCCAAGTTCTTATGCTTCCAAAATATCAAGAAATCAAGATTGTGTCAAAATGTAATTGGAATTCAATTATGCTCCGAGAACTGCCAGTGATGAGTTATTGAATGTCCGAGAAGTTTTCGTTGTCTTCCTTTTCCTCATTTCAGAAAGGAATAGAAATTTCTAAAGAAGAGAAGAGAAACCTCTTGAAAAATGTGTGTATCTAGTATGTTTTCTTTTTTCTAACTGGGAATAGATTATTGTTATTTTCCTTATACAGGGTTATTCANACGATGTATCACATGATGGGGGTTGCCATTTGAAATTTTTGAGTTGCTCCCCGCCCCCCCTCCCCCTGGGGGAGTGAAGAACTGAAAAGTACCTCAAAAAGTTTCCCCCTCGATATGAGGAAGGACGCCACAAACCGCAAATCGATATCATAATTAGAACTAAAGTTATGGCCAGTGGTGCGTAACTTTTGAATAACCCTGTATGATTATTTATTTATTAATTAATGTTTTTTTTCATTTTGATACTAATTAAGCGTTTGTTTAAGAATGTACTCCTTATTTGTGAAAGTCTCTTTTTTGCATTTTAGATCCAAAGCTTTTAAAGTATTTCCTAATTTGTGGTTTTAATCCAAGTTCCTTAATTTTTCTAAAAGTTTTTTATTCTGAAAAAGTAGGTAACACGGTTAGAAGACTTAAATCTTAAATTCTTCCTTACCTCCTGCACTGAAATAAATTAATCAAAAATATTTTCTTAGAAAGTATTTTTCTACGTTTTATTAGGGTGTTGGAATCGATTTTCAATGAGGGAATATTTTCATGCTCCAGAATTAGCTTATTTTTCTACTTGAATTGATGTTAGGTAAATCTTTCTTTAAAAAAAATCAAATCCCCTAATTTATTTTGTTTTAAGTACATACATACTCTCACTTTGTGTCTGTCCCAAGTATTATTGCTTGTTATTTATTTATTTTGTCTGCTTATTTATTTGATCATGAATTAATTTATGTTTTTCACTCTTATCTATATTTATTTTTAAAGAATTTATAATATAATCGTTCTATTATTTACTATGATTACACTTATTTTAACTTGCTCGTGTTGAATAAATGAAAAGTGGTATTACTATTTTACAATGGTATTTTTTTGTGTCTGCAAACTCCTTGTATTAAGTTTTAAACCAGCACTCTAAAGGGTGACTTTCAAGAAAAAGCGCTCTTGCACTAAGTGTAATTCAGTAACAGGTTCATTTCAAAATTTAAGTTTAAATATGGCCAGTGTAACATTAATCTCACGTCCTCCTCACAATGAATCAGACTTGGAGGTCTGCTTGTCAAGTCATAATTCTAAAAGCTTATTCTATATAAATAATGAAAATTATATAAATTTAAATTGAAAGCGTCATGGCGGTATCTCGGAATACTCCGCTCTTTATTGTCAATCATGTGTCGCTCACATCTTGGAGAGTAGTTAAAAAACGAGGCTAGGCACGATTAAGTCTCTCTTAGCTTTGGCTGGTTATGGACATTTCATCAACGATTTTTTGTCCGCGCACCTATTTTTTCCAGTAGTTTAAGCCCAAGCGTTTTTTCAGCAAAGGAGTTTTGGTCCACTTAACAAGTGAGACCCAAAGATAATTGGTCCACATATAAATACTAACGACAATTGCTGACGAGGTTCTTGGATAAAAATGTATTATGTCTTGGAAGAATGAGGGTTTGCTTTTTTTTTTTTTGTTTGGTCCAATGAAGAAAAATATATAATTGAGATTTTTGGTAAAAATGGGGGAGCATCAATTCCATGAGGGAAAATTCACTAAAACTCTCTACACCTCTTTGGTGCAACAGGACTCAACTAATTTTCAAGAAAATCTCATCTTGTTATACCTGAACCGGGTAAACCTTTTGATTTGCCTCAACCGAAGGCTCTTAGAATTTTCCTGTGTAGGTACGATAACTTCGCGCCGGCGTGCCGCGACGCTTCGAGCTACTGTTCGCCACGGAGGTGATTGCACTGTATCATACAAGATTGAAGTCACCCCAACGTATTATCATTTATGGCATCTTTCAAAAGCACGAAGTCCCCTAGCAAATTATATTGAGTGACAACAAAAAAAAGAGAGCGGTCGTTAAAAAACATACTAAGTCCTGGTATCTGTATTCATTAACGTATTAACTTTATTCATTATAGGAAAAAAAGACTTGATTCAAGCAGAAGTATGCTCAAATTTACCGCCGAGAAGATTTCGTTATGAATCAATAATGAAAATAATGCTTGTTCAAAAATGCATTTATAAAAAGAAAAGTCACTTACCTACATCAAGCAGAAACCCGCTTTCATACAGCTATTTTACTCTCCTAATAAAATCTTCTTGACGGCATCCTCAATAATGTTTCTGCCTAAATCGAGTCACTTTTTTCTCTAATGAAATTCAAAAATTATGCTTAACGTTATTAAATACGGATGCTAGGATTTCGTGAGTTTTTTGGAATACCGATCTCTTTTTGTGCCGTATTATTTTGATTTATTTTGTGAGGAAAGCTCTGTACTCTTAGAGAATGTCAGTCATTCTTGATATCGTCACCTTCCAGGCAAAGTATCACAAGCGCCATGCGACGTTTAAAAATTTCCGCCGCCATTTTATTTTTTTACAGAGAAATTGTTCAACGAAGCTGTCCGAAAATTTCACTGAATTTTCTTTGTGCGGCCGATAAAATTTAGTGAAATTTCCAAACAGATTCAACCAACAATTTCTCAGTAAGTAAAGAAATAAAATGGCGGCGGAAATTTTTAAACGTCGCATGGCGCTTGTGATACTTTGCCTGGAAGGTAACGAATTATGTTGGAGCGCCTTTAATTTCGTATGATATTGTGCAACACCTCTGCCGCGAAATAGTTGCTAGTTGCCGTGGCACCCAGCGGTGCGGCGGGCAGCGCGCTGATAGCACGCCGCTCCGCTCTGTGTTATTAGGCTCTAATATTTAAACGGGCGGAGTCAGTGTTTTTCAACTCTTAATTTTGAAATGTTCGATAAAAAAAAAATATGTTGCATAGGAAAATATAATGTGCGTTTGTAAACATTAAGGTGGTTCCGTGTCAAATTTAATGATTTCCAATTATTTTTTATTTATTTTTTTTCAATTTGACGTCTGATTTTTTTTAAGATGTATTTGTAGACCTACATCTAAAGCTTCTACGTACCGGCCCCCTACAACTTGAGGGGCATGTGTTTTAGCAACCCTCGGCCCTAAGGTTGCTTAAAACACGTGCCCCGTGTAAATATTTTTAAATTAAAACCCGATGGCTTCGGGTCAATTTGACCGAGCCTGGGCATCCAAGGGTTAAAATATATTAAAATAGCAGTAATAATACTTTCATTTATTTACTTAAATCTACTCATGCGATCTCCGAAATAAGAGGATTTTCCCTCCATTTCCTGCGCCTTGTCCGTGTTCCGTTTGATATGTATCACCGCACGCCGCGCCGATGAACCAGATGAACTCATTTGAGTAAAATGCGTGATAAAAATGTTTCGACTCTGGAATACCTAGCTTAAATTGCATAACCACTGAAGAGAAAAGGCCTCCTTTTTTCTTCTCGTTTCTTCAGTCGAGTTATTAAGTCATGGATACCTACTAATTAACAACGGAGTTTTATTAATCACGGCGAGTCTCGCTTCCCAATTAGACACCTAAATGCCCATTTAAATCAACTGAATAAGACAAGTGTTTGGAAGTAAAGTTCATCCTTTTTCCACTCGCATTTTTAAATGTGGAACTAAGCCATCTACCTGCTTACGTGGTTTTAATGTTTATCACCCTAGTGCTTCCATAGCACCTGCGCAAGATTTACCCCCGTGCTCGGCGCAATGCCAGCTCCCGTAAGGGAGTGGAGCCCCTGGCCCTCCCTCCCCCTTTCGTGCAGATCTTCAAAGGATCAAAGGTCAACGCCAGTGAACGGTTCCCACAAACGGAGCTCTATCGACTCTTCACACAGCAGCTCGTTTCGTTCTGTGTTCTTGGGTGAATTATGACGTCGCCGAACCTCGAAACAATTGATGTAATTTAAACGCCTAAGCGGCAGTAAGATTAGGTAAGTTACGATCGCGTCCCGGCTGAAACGCAAATGTTAAATTTAATGTTGGTGGGAGTGCATTGGCAGCTATCAGCTGCTATCAAACTTGTAAGTAACTAAAGTTGTTGACTCATGTCGAACTTTTTCGTAATTGATCCGAAACTTTCGTGCTAGATGATCGTAGCCGTGACGTGCCCTCAGCGTTTGAAAATTACTACCCCCAGCGATGCCACCAATTCGTCCACGTTTTGCTTAACCGCACTCATCTTCCCTTTCAGCATTATTTACTTATCCGGTGACTGATCCCTTTGGAAAACCTAGATGGCTCGTCATTCCGGGCAGACAAGCGGTTAGGTCCAATTTGGCTGAGACGTTATGTTCTCAGCGGGCCGATTATTGAAATTGATCGACAAAGCTATAGACAAAGGAGACAAAAGAGATATGGAGAGATCTTATAGGTGAAAACAGGTGGTTGCAATGGACAAAAGAGGTAGGTAATAGACTAACTAACGGCAACTCACGAGAAACCCGACAGTTAGTCTATCATTTTCTCCCTTTGTCGATAGGAACCACCCATTTCAACCAATAGGATCGCTTCATACTCCCTATGTCTTCTTTGTCTATAGCTTTGTTCATCAACTTTAATAATCAGTCTACAGGACGAGTTGTTGCCTGCAATGATGATTCCGCGTTATCGTCATCAGAGCCAAGTCCATTCAAGTGATTTCAGTCATCAAAGGACCATTTTCGGTCTCCTTCACACGGGGCGGGGCCCGGGGGAGACCCTCTCACCCCCTCCACAAAGGGCCGTCCCTGAATAACGGAATGCCTCCGGAGTCCTCGCGATGGGTTACGATCTTTGCTAGCGTTACGCAGCTTTATAGGAGGAGTGGGTATGAAGTTGGGCGTTTAACACTGTTTTTCAACTGGACCCGCGTTAAACTGAAAGGAACCAAGCCACATCAGCTATTGCCAAATTTAATCGGGCAATTTAATTTTTTACATGAAAACGGCTGTGCGGATTTTTGTGCAAATTTCGATGAATTTTCTCCATAATACAAAGCAAATTCTTCAAAATTTTCAAAGGAATCAGCACAAACGTTTTCTCGTAAAAAATCAAATTTCCCTGTTAAATTTGGCAGTAGCTGATGTGGCTTGGTTCCTTTCTGTTTAACGCGGCCCAACTGTAGCGTTTCCTACAGATTTACCTACAAGTTCTATGCCGAAACTAAAATTTTACTCAGCGTTAAAGATAGCTCTCTGATTCAAGTATTTTAATCAGCTCAAAAAGGAACTGTCGAGCGAACGGTGTTCACAGATATATGAATCTGATTTTTCTCAAAGCAACAGGACCAGACGTCTGGTGTGTGCTGAACGCCGCGCCGCGCTCAGCGCAAATATCTACAAGGGTCAGCACGATCGAGTCGTGTCGTAGCTATTAGATTCGCCTTCAATTAACGAGATAGGCAAGAGCGGGTGCATCCCCAATATATCACGATCAAAGAGAAAAAAAAGTAATTTGAAAGACGAACTGTACGTATAATTTTTATGGCAGGAAACGGCGCGTAGCTCCTGAGGACCCTCATTTGCCTGACTCGTTAGTTGAAGGCAAATCTAGGAGGTTCTCAAAAACTCAATTCCTAATGATCAATAGACGTAAGCAGCAAGCAAAAAGAATGTAACAAACCTAAAGTTGAAATTTTTTTTAAAAAAAGGGCTTTAATTTTTTTACCAAAGTTTTTACCAATGAGTCCGGGAAGGAAAAAAAAACTGTTTTTTCTCGATTGAAATTTTTGACAGTTTAAAAAATACGACCAGCCACGTTCCAAACTTGCCATCAGCACGATAGTAAAGATTGGAAATGAAAAAGAGATCCTAAAAAAAATATTTGCAGGAGTTCCCAATTCACATCAGTTAGGCTTTTGTACTCTACTCAGGTATTATTTTAAAAATTGGCCTCGAGATTAAGAGGAATAAAGAGGAAAATGAACAGCAATCTCTCCCAGAGACCCAGTTAAAAGCAGCGGTTTATGCTTCACAAGGAGGGCGCCACATTACGCGCTTATTAGGGAACATTCCTTGCATAGATAATCTTTTAATTACCCCTAACAATAATTGTGAGTACCTAAATTAAAAAAATGAATAACCGCGGGAAGCCAGGGAAGGGAATACATCGTAACCTTCCGGCCAAAGTATCACAAGCCCCGTGCGACGTTTAAAATTTTTCGCCGCCATTTTATTTTTTTACAGAGAAATTGACAGTTGAATCTGTTTGAAACTTTCACTGAATTTTACCGGCAGCAAAAAGAAAATTCAATGAAATTTTCGACAGCTTCGTTTAACAATTTCTCTGTAAAATACTAGCGTGGGGGCGGAAATTTTCAAACGTCTTATGGATCTTGTGGTACTTTAGCCGGAAGGTGACGACACATTGATTACTTTCCTTGCTGCGTCTCTCACTCTATCTGGTTCGCCTTCAGTAACCGCAATGGCAATATGAGCAGCTTGAGAGCACAATTGCTTGCAGTAGCATTGTCACTTTCACTCCCTTCCGGCCAGAGATAGAAAGCGAAATTTTGAAAGGCTCGAATGAATTTCACAAAATTTGAAATTTGTTCATTTTTTTTTTAATTATAAAGTAAACTTTCGGAAGTCCGGAAAATGTTTCAGATGGTACTATTGTTGATGCGGCAATATTATGGTATACCCTACTGCGGTGCTTTACCGAAGGAGGGCATAAAGGGGAGTTTAGAAATTTTAGCCCCAACCTAACCACTAAACCACATTAAAACATATTGAATGTTTTAGGCTTGGAGTGAAAAATATAAAAATCGAGAATTACTGTTTGTTGGCATTTCTTGGCCTCCTGAAAGCATCCCCGCAAGATTAAAAAAATTTCACGCAAATGAATTTCATGAAATTTTCCAACTCTGGTCCCGGCAAGGAACACACGTTCCATTGACGCCATTCAAATCAAGAACAATATTTGATTCAAATCGCGGGTGGGAATTTACATAGCAAACGTCGCAAATTGGTTTCCTCCCCTCCCCCCTATAGAAAGGCCCAAAAACTACAGAACTGGGGGACTGTTCATTAATTGGTTACGCAGGGGGTAATCGCTCCCCCCCTCCCCGCAGGGGGGCGAATCGGAAATAAGGACAAACACAAACATGCCTATGATTCGATAATTACAAATTATTAATGAAAGAGACGGAAAAAAGATCATTCAATTAGACTCCCCGAGTTTTTCTCTATATACNGGGGGGGGGGGGGGGGGGTGTTTGTGTCCTGAATGCGCCAGGCAGGTGTCTAAGTTAAACTGGTAGGAATGGTCAAGGAACGAGAAACGTGTCTCTGATATGATTCATCTGTGACCTCTGAACAGAGTATTTCACCGGAAATAAGAGTTTACCCCCGGAGTTTTTGGATAGTATATCGGATGTTTTCTGTAAATATCAAATCAAGTCAATCAAGTTTGGATTTTTGGCAGCATGGCATCTAGAGGCGCCATGGCGCCATGCCATGGCGCTTGTGAAAGCGAACGACTTGGCAACTTCATTTGTTATCACAGTGAGCCAGTCAGCGTGGCGGCAGGCGGAGCGCATGCGCACGGCCACTCTGGAGCAACCCGACGGATCCTATACCAACAAACAAAGTAGTTATCTGTTATCACCGTCGTAAAACTGTCGGCGATCGGGTTTCTGCGACTGTGTTCATTCCTTTTATTACCCCTGATCCCGAGTGTTTATTTTATTAATTAAGTGTGATATTTATGAACTGCTGGTCCTATCGATCACCGGTGAAACATTACTTTGCAAGTCCTCTTATCTAATTGAAAGAGGCACCCTTTACCCTCTCGTGTCTCAATAGAATGTTCAAATGTTTTCCGAAGTAGATACCTCCGATGCTTTCAAAAGTGGTGATATGGATGCATGCTTCTCTGCATTCGATAAAGACGGTGATGGCTGTTTGGATCCGGTAGAATTCACTTCTGTGTGCCGTGCGTTATTTCGCAATGACAGAGGACAAATCTACAGTTTGACGAAGGATCAATTGGATGAAGTATTCGCAATTTTTGATCAAAACAATGATGGTTTCATCGATAAAGATGAGTTCACCTTTTGTTGGAATAATTGGATCAAAATAATTGTTCATCCTACCAATGCTTTTTTGATCGTTGATGTACAGAATGACTTTATTTCCGGAACGCTAGATATCAGCCACTGTGCAGCGCAACAGAATGGAAGTGAGGTAATAGATCCTATCAATAAACTATTAGACACAGTTCCTTTTGATGCTGTTTTCTATTCCCTGGACTGGCATCCCAGTGATCATGTATCTTTTATTGACAACTTACCTCAGCGTAAAGTTCATCCATCCAGTGGCATTAGCGCAGCAGATGCCAAAGTGTACGACACTGTCGTATTTGAAGGTCCACCATTAATGAAACAGAGGTTATGGCCACGACATTGCGTGCAGGACTCATGGGGTGCAGAACTTCACAAAGATCTAAAAGTAGTTGATAATGCAGTCAAAATTTACAAAGGCACTAATCCAGAGGTGGATTCGTATTCGGTTTTCTGGGACAATAAGAAAATGACTGAAACAACACTTCAGTCGCAGTTGAAGAAAGTGAAAGCAACAGATTTGTATGTCTGTGGTTTAGCTTACGATGTGTGTGTCGGAGCATCTGCTTTTGATGCTCAGTCAATTGGTTACCGCACTGTTTTAATTGATGACTGCTGCAGAGGGGTAGACGTGAATGATATAGAGGCAACTCGTAAATCAGTCATAGATAACCATGGAGTAATTGTCAATTCAAGCCAAGTCAAAGCCATGGTTGAAGGGAGAGACCGAAGGCCTGAGCTAGGCTACAAGCTTGCACTAGGATTGAAAAAGAAAGGAAAATTGATCAATGGCAATAACTAAGGTCAGCGAAATGCTCCTTAGATGATTGGAAGGATCTATATTTAGTTATCATTGTATTCATGTAGCTGGTATTTCTATTGTGATTATTCTTTTACCACCTAAAATTAGTACTTTGTTACTTTCCAACTAAGTTTTTTAAACTACTTTAAAGCCTTGTCGCCACGGACTGTTTCACAGGATTTGTCCCAGGAAAAATCCCACGTCCAAAGTCAGGAAAAATATTGATTAAACTCAGGAAAAACTTAGGAAAAATATTGATTAAACTCAATATTTTTCCTAGTAATGAGTCTGGTCCTTGTACCCCTAAGCCTAAGACCAACTGAGGGAGGAAGAAGAAGTGAAAACGAATTATGGGATATTTTGTTGCTCACTCGATCGTTTGTGTTTGTTTAATTAAAATAATTTGTGTCTAATTCTTGATCATGATCAATTATTATCTTTTTTCTGGTTAAATACTCAATTTTTACTAATTTATCTTCCCACGTCAACTTGTAGCAGAAATGTCAGAGCCCCGTCCCATGGAGACAGCAACTAGGGAAAATTCCATGAAAATGTCTCGTAGAGACGGTAACTAGGAAAAATTCCATGAAAACGTCTCGTAGAGACGGCAACTAGAGAAAATTCCATGAAAACATCTCGTGAAGACAAGGCCTAAGTATTTGCTGCATTGTTAAAGTCAGAAGAAGACTTAAGTACTGTGCTCACCTGGCAAGTGACTCAGCGAGAGGGTTGAGAAAATTTTTCCACAAGCACTCTGGCATTAATTTGCAAGGCAGGTAATGTTTGTCATTGAAATAATGAAGTGATAGCAGTTTTTAGTCTAGACTGAGTTCTTGGTGTAAATATTTAAGGATATTAAAGTGAAGAGCCAATTGTGCCCAAAGAATTTGTCAGGCAAAAATGAACGCAAAAAATATTCCATGGCAAATTATTCCGCTGTATTTCCAAACTTAGCAACTCAACTGTCAGCAAGAACTTTTGCTCCTTTGACTCATAATTTTCTGTCGGTTTGAGTAGAGAGGTTCTGTAAGCTGACTTTAACAATGGACGTCAAACTGACATCTCTTATGAAGGCTTTTAGTTTCCAAGAAACGAAGCCTCATCTCCGTTCCTATTTACATGATACCCACTTACTTAAAATTAGGAAAATTTATGAAATCGTTCCCATAAATCAATTGTATTTTCATTTTACTCAGTATAATGTTTGCTGTGCAGCTTAAGTATTACAATGCTAATTCATGTTGAAAGGACACTGGTGAACATGATCTCATGACCGCGCAGTACATGATATTGCGATTTTTGTTTTTGTTATCTCTTCAGAGAGTGTTTTGTTGAGAATGTCTGTTGGTTCAGGCTCATTTGTGAGTGAAGCAGCTAAGAAAATTTTCGATTGATGAGCTTTTTTTCCAGTTGCATAATGAAGCCAAGAATCGTTTTTTTCTATTCAGGTAGCACGGAAAGAGACAAAAAAAAGCACTTTTATGTGTTATAATCTCTTACCTATCCTATGTTTTGTATTTTACATACTAGAAAGTCGCCATCCTTTCAGCATTAAGTCTCAGGTAGTGGAGCAATGTTAGGAATATTGTAGTGATATTTACCACCCCTTCCTCTCCCCCTTTTCTTTTTGCCATTCCACAAGACCCCTGGTTAAGTAGAGGTTTTGGTAACTGTTCAGACTGTTTCACCCTCTATTGTTATCTATTTAAAGCCTTCAAGAAGGTTTCAGATAAATATTTTATTTCTGTATAGATATTACAAACATTTTTTGGAAGCAATTTTTTTATTTTACTTTCTTTTATTTGTTCACATGTTTGGTTTCTGTTTCTGCTCAATAGCTTTTTGGTGTATTTCTGAAACTTTTTTCAAGTACTAGGATTTTTTCTTGCCAGTAATTTTTTAAAAATCCAAGTCTGGTCTGTTTAATATTTTGTGTGACCCAGGAAAAAAGTCAGGATGCAATCCTCATTTTTTTTTTTTTTTTTTTTACCCAATTAGTATTCTCATCTAATGTGCTGTGTACCTCTTGTTCACGTACCTAAACCTGAAATTCCTGTTTATTTTTATTTCACACGAGTTTTTAATTTACAGCTGTGTGTTTAATAAGCTGTGGTGACTTTTCAGGAGTGTTAAGTACCTAACTCCTTCATCTTGCCCAGCAAGAATTCATATTTGCTTGTGTTGAAAAGTTACTAATACCTACGCAATTTTAGGTTGAGTTTGAGCAATCAACTCCCTGAAAAGATCAGCCCACTTAAGTCCTATTTGAAATTTTTGTAGACTTTAAGTGTCTAAATTCAACTAATCTTTAAATCACCAGTCTCCCTTTGCAGTACCAATTTTATTAGATACCTAATTTTTATGCCTTGTCTTCAAATTCCATTAGGTAATTAATAATTACCTAACAACTGAACAATTACTGCTAGCAGGCCCGCCACAAGGGGGGGGATACTGGGTCCTTGGTACCGGGGCCCGGGCCCTGGAGGGGCCCGTGACGCAGGTGACAAACCACTACGAATTCATGTGTAACCCTTGTCTCGTAGGGAAAAGTGAAAAAATTACCCTAAAAATTCCGCAAAAGATGAATAAAGTTTCAAAAACACGCTAGGGCACTATAGATTTCTCTTACTTTTTTAGAGATTTTCAAGATTTTGAGTATATGTAGAATGCTATTTTTAGTAACTGTGTTTCTTTTTCTTCCGTTGTCGGATGCTAAGAGGATCCTTTCTGGGCATCCTCGACTTCAATGGCTTAACTGTCTTGCCATAGACGTACGAAAGGGGAGTCCAGGGGGGCCCGGCTCCCCATAGAATTGAAAATTATCATCTGCCCCCTCAAAAAAAAATTGATAGATGTTTTGAATTGCAACAATTCGAAAGTTTTTGGTGCTGAAAGTAAACAAAAAGGCGTAATTATACTGCAGAAATTGATGGAAAATCTCCATCATAAGAGCTTCATAATGCGTCCAAATAGATTTAAAATTTCAAAAATTTCCCGGGGGAGGCCCCCCGGCCCCCCCCCCCCTGTGCTAGGGGCCCGGGCCAGAAAATTGGTACCAGGGCCCGAGATGGGATGTGGCGGGCCTGACTGCTAGCATACTGTGCCTTTTTGGTATGGAGCAATTTTTCCTCCTGAATGCTGGAACATCGTTTGTTCATCTGTTTTAACCACAGTATCCTCCTAGCTCCTACAAAAGGGCCACCCTCTCAGAGAAATTTTCCATGAAATCCTCTGGAGATGGGTCAACAGATTGTCTCCATACTTACTCTGTGGGTATTTACCCACAGAAATTAATTCGTTTTTTGGTAGGTTGTATCCTGCCACCCAAAAACAGAGCTATGATAAGAATCATTCATCGATTGATAAGATTATTCTCGTCTCTGTAGGTAGTTCTCAAATCTGTTATTTCCTAAAATGTGTCGAAATTTTTCACCCCACTGTTCATGAAAGTTGTTGATTTAATCTTCAGACCAGGCTTGGAGAATTGTTCAGCACAATATTTATTTCCAAGATACATTGATCTTTGTACAAGAAAGTTCCTGTTTCATCCAAACCTTCTTTTTGCAATAAAGAAGAAGGAATAATTTATCGTTTACTTTGACCTTTTACTTAGTAACGTCCATGTAGAATATGCTTTATTCTGTAATTTTTGTAACATTTTTAAGCACTTTCCAATTAGCAACTTTTGATTATTGCTCGTTGCACTTCAGTGCCTTTTAGTGCCTTATATGTTATCCGTCTTATTTTTCAGTTTATTGTACTTATTTGTCTTTAAAAGAAGGCATTAACACAATTTTCCTGGCACAAAAAAATGAATAATATACCTTTTTAATAAATGTATCTGTTCACAAGTTAACGCTAGGAGAAAATATGTTCTTTGTTACTCTCACTTCTCTCTTAAAATTGAGTTTTGACATGGGAAGGAAAAAGTTCAGTAACAGAAAATGTGTTAAATGAGATTGGATAAAGCAGAGAAAGAGCGATGAAAAAATTGTCCTTACTCTCAAGGATTAACGTGTTTCCCCTTAAATTTTTTTTATCATTTTTTAAATTTACCACCGAAATGAAAATATGGAATGTCCTGACAAAATAATACAGCAGTCATCCCCATCAAAGCCTCTTATGAATATTCTCTCTGCAGTATACCAGAGTTTGAGTTTATCTTTTTACTATTCCTCACTCATAGTCCAAAATTTCCGGCAGCTGAAATATGCGAAATGCTCCTCCCCAGTTAGACTGCGAAAAGGAGTTTCCATTACAGAAGCTTAGAACTTCCTTTTCTACAAACCACTTGAAATTTACTTTCTTCGTAATTTCTGTGCAGTTTTGGTTTAGTTTTCAATTTTGGATGTATTCTTATGGCGATATCACATCGCCACTATGAAAGGCTCAATTTTTTAATGACTTTAACAAGGCCATGCGATAGTATGCCGTCCAGTAGTAATTTTTAGAATTTTTGCACTCAATAATTTTATAGCTGTATGATCTAATTTAATTTTTTATTTTTATTTATTTATTTTTTTGAAAGAAGGGCACAATAATCATCAATTTTTCACCTAGTTTATGTAGTATTCTAAGCTTTCAGAGTATAAACTTTTTCAAAAAGTTCCCCTTGTCCTTCAAATTTTGTTTGGAAATTTTGGAGCTCTTGGAAGTTTCCACTACTATGTCAACTTAATCTTTCTTATTTCATAAATAGCTAGAAAGCAAAGTACTATGAACCTCATGGTTATTCAGTCTTGAATTTGTGTCCCACTCACAAAATTCGTAGTAAACTTGCAGTCCTCCCAATTTCTAAAACTTTTCAGATTCCTTCCAAGGTGTGATTCTCACAAGATAGTTCCTTACAGAATCTCATTGTATTGGTAATTTTCAAGTCTGAGAAATGAATTGTTTTAATTTTTTTAAATAAACTCAGTACTTACTGAATCTCATTGGTGTAGGTCTGTATTTTATCAGTACTTTATCCTGTACAATGTGACCTTAAAAGTGAAAATATTTGAATTGAATATTTATTTTCATGCATTGCAGCTATCTACAGGCACAGCCAAAAGCATGAAATAAAGTAAAAAGAAATATTCAATTTTTTAAAAATCAATAAGTAGAAATCATCCATTAAATATTTTTACATAATACATCATAATCCTTTTTTATGGTAATATTGGTAAAAGGTGATTTGGTAGGAATTAAAAATACAGATCATTTGTTCCTATTTTTTTCATTATTATTTTATTTATCGGTCTATTGTTTTTTCTCATTGTTTTCAAGCAATATTATTTTATTTACTAGTTCTACTTTATTTTTTGAATAGAGGAATCCTTTCCCATCATCATAATCCAGTTTTTCAAAACCATGTAACCATTGAGTATTGAATTGATAACTTAATCGAATGGTCATTGGTTCCTCCTTTGTATTGGATGTTTTGCAACTCATAGCAAGAACAGCTCCTCCTAGGTTTTGGTATCTTTTTATGTAGTTTATAGCAATGTAGACAGCCTGTAAAATTTTTGCATTGTAAGAAGTTAGAATTTTAAAGTCACAGGCACAAATGTGATAGTTTAACTATTTCCCACTCTCATGAAACTGATTATTCAAAAACCTCCTTTTTTTGACGATGCGCAATATGATGCACCCAAGTGCTTCATCTATTGTGAATTTCAAATGTAAAGCTTGTGTCCCGGTGTTTTAATCATTTATGAATGGAATAAAATTTTACATACCTTTTTCACATAATTGCTCTGTTGTTTATTTCTTACCTACTCTACAACCTACTAAACACGCAAGTGATCTATATCAAGCAAAGAAATTTGATAGATAATCTTGAACAGAACTGTATCAAACATGATGAGCAGTAATTATGGCTCATGTCATGAACTAATAATCTATCCTAGGTATTCTCTGGTATGAATTTTAAAACTTTTTATCTTATTCAAAACTGTTCATTTGTCGCCACTACCTGCACAAAATTTCAATTTGAGGGATTTTCGAGGAATAACTTCCAAATTATGATGATTAATTGGATTGTATTTTGCAGAAAGGAACCAAGAGCATTCCAATGTCGCTCAGATTGTGGAACTTTGTTTACCTTGCAAATATAAACTGATCATCAGAAGAAGATTCATCTTTCCTCTCAATAAACTATAAATTGATGACGAAAATTACCTTTGTAAATATTTTTTTTTGCACGATTTCAGTAATTGAGTTGCAAAGAATGTAAGATGCGCAACCCTAGCAACATTGGAATGCTCTTGGTTCCTTTTTGCAAAGTGCAATCCAATTATGATACTAGAACCTTGCATTCCTAATTTGAGTTTTTTTCAGTTTTCTAGTAGCAACGAATCTTAAAAACGTTTTTAAAACTCTTGATGAAACTTTCGAAATGTTCGTTTTACGAAAACCTTTTTGGGTATTTTTTTAAAGTAAAATTTCCGAGAGGTATAATTTTAGTAAAATTTAGCATAGTGTCAAAAAACTCTGAAGATATCAACTGTAGATTTTCAACAAAAAAAAATTTAAAATTATGTTTGAAAAAGTCGGACGCAAGTACCCAGACAGTTTTTTTTTAAGGACTTTTAATTACCTAAGTAAGTAAAACTCACCAAAAGTTGAAGTTTACTCGAAATAATAGCCTATTAGGGTTTCCTGGAACGAACATGTTATTAGCAATTTAGGAGTTTCTGAAAAGGGGGCATGTTAAGGGTTATTGCAATGAGGCAGGATACCACTGCTGTATCTGAGGAAATATATCACGCGTGTAAACTAAAAAGAATTTCCGTGAATGAGTTCAGGAAAGGCGTACATGTCTATTCAAAAGACACAATAAATCCGAGTAAGTATCATGCATATATCAGAATACAGTATTGCCATATCGGTACACAACATCAACTACTATCATGTAGTAGGTATGTATGAGATACTCCTCAGCATTCAGAATTTACCAAAAGTTCTACTTCCAAACTGGGAATAGAGCATTTTTAATCTTTGGTAATTTCAAAGTATTCCTTATGCGTTCAAGTGAGTTTCTCTCCAAAACGGCGCTCTATAGACTCAAGCTGGTATCTGAAGCTTCTTGGTATCGAATACGATTTGTAAAAGTGCCCTAATAATCCCAGCAAGGCTCTAAGAACATTGGCTCGTAATATACATGCAGTTTGTGAACCTTATTTTTATCTCAAGAACCTTTCAGTAAAATATTAGGTGTGAGGCAGGGAATTTTTTTTTCATCTTTTTCTGGACACTGCTACCTGGCTTTTAATTGTTAGCATCACCGAACCCTGATTTATAATTTGTGGGAATGAATAATATGTACTTATCTATTAACTATATTCTTACGTTTCTGAAAACGCAAGCGCGTTTAGGAGTACCGGACCGGAAATGATTGAGCGCATAGCGCCCAGCGACGGAAACGGAAATCGGTACTGCAGTCTTACAATCTCACGAAAACAAAACGTGCAATATCGGCAGACTAGATTAATGATACGTACACCCTTATTAATGCATTTTTTTTTGAAAATATTATTTAATAATCTTAGGGAGGCTCTACTTAATTTTGCATGAAAATCTTGAATAAATGTAACGTAGGAACCCTTTTACTCGCGTAGCTTTCGCTCTCAAAGTTGGCAGTCCTTGGCTTTGTTATCAGCTGACATTAGCGCCATATTTGTTTTCGTTTGTTTGTTTTGTTTTTTATCAAAAACGAATTCGCTATCCGACTTGAAGTTCTCGGGGCATTTTTTATAATTTATCTCTCTAATACTGTGATTGTTCACTTTTTTGAAGCATTCAATCTCATTTTGTGATATTATGTCCATCACTGTACTAAAATAGTAAATGCAATGTTCATTTCATCAGTGATTAGAGAATCCCGTGCCTGTTCTCCTGATTTTGCAATCAACGTCTATTCCTTGCTGATGTCTTAGGTACTTACATACGTCGACAGTTAATTTTGTGGTAAGTGCATCTTTATATAATCGTCTTCGAAGTTTAAAGGAAGCTGTCTGTATTAAACTTCAGCATCAAATTAATATTTTTATGTTTGGTGCAGCCGTTTCCTTGACTGAGGTTAGGAATTCTCGCCATAATAGTGGAAAGATAGAACATCTGATTGATTATCAGGAACTGCATCTGTTTTCAACGAGTTTTAATTTGGAAACGATTTAAATGATATTAATTGCCAGAGCTAAAACAGTGAGAGTCTAAATTGTCCTTGGCCAGAGGGCCGATAGATAGGTTCATCGTCTGAGGCTCTAGAGCTGGCCAATCATATGTTAAGAATCATTTCCGTCTCTGATCAGGCTTGAAGGGTCCTCGCTAAACAATTCACCACGATATGCTGTTAATCTTAGCGGAGTAAAATGTTGTAATCTGAATGGCTATATATCAAAAGAGATTATAACATAAACATTCCGATGGCATTTTCGGCCTGCAAATTGTTGATGGTGTCAGAAAATGTACGGAGTGGGATGGCTACAAAAACATTGAATCACGTAGACCGTGCATCCTGTGTTACGGAAGGCGAGAGAACTTTTAAAAATTTGCATGCCGATGAGTGGTGGTACCGACCAGCATCGATGAGTTCGTGTGTCCCAGTTGCGCACATGCGCAGTAGTGACTCCAGTGAATTTTCGTCGAATTGTGAGGCTTGTTTCATCGGTTAATAATTGGTTCCGAAAAATGAAACAGTGCTCTTCGGGTGTAAAATTGTGTGTTCTATAACTTGTCTTCCTAGGAATTTTGTCTGAAAATGGGCTCTAAACAAGATATTTGTGACAAACCAAGCGCGGGCATGAATTCTCCATTGCGCTCTCTTCGAGCGCTTGAGACACGCGCACAGTCTACTTGATTCAATGTCTTTGGATGGCCAGCAATTTAGCAGTCCTTAGGGCTCTTTGGATCGCTGAGCAACTCGATGGGTAATTATTGGTCACTCCTGGCAGATAGTGAGTTGTTCTTCTGTAGTTTAACAATGCTCTTCTGGGACTGACTGACACCTTGATGGGTTTAACAATGCATCTTACTTACATGCACTCAGCTGGCACCACAGATGAGTCTTGATGAAGACAAGTCTTGACTTCGGTCTTAACACAAGATGAGCGAAACCTATTGAGGGTAAGTATGCACACTAATGTCAACTTGATAGTGACCATTAAGTCTATGTCCAATTTGCTGCCTTTGTTTACTCTTCGGCACAATAAAATCAGCACAAGTGAATATGAAGTAATTAACCTCCTAAGTTGCACTGATGCATGTGCATTGGAGCCAAGTGTAATTCTCTATTCCCGATTTTGTTGCAGAAATTTTTTCCTTTTGTCCAAACATTGAATTTCCTCACTATCAACAGGCCCGGACTTAGGGCGTGCGGCGCACACGGGCGCCAGCTTTTGGGGGGCGCCACGAAAGAAGAAGAGAGGGGGAAAAGGAAAAGGAAAAAAAGGGAAGAAAGGACAAGGGGAAAAAAGGAAAAGGAAACAAGGTTGAGCAGTGAAAGCATGGAAGAAGGGGGAAATGGAAGGAAAAAGGAGGCAAGAAAAGTGAAAAGAGAGTCCGCGAGGAAGGGGGGGGGGCATAAAAACCATAGACAAAATATAAAGAGAATTGCCGTCTAAAGGTAAATTTTCAGGACAAAAACTCCACCTGGTCCATAGACGGTCAGGCGCCCCTTAACCCTAAATTTGCGGCTGTACAGAAATACAAGAGTAGGCATGTAGTAAGGGGGCGCCATAAATCCATCGAACAGGAGCCGACATAGCATTTTAGGCCACGTCCGCCATCTTGGATTTGAGAATTTTCAAAAATCGACTAAAAATTCGAGTTTCCCGTCGAAAAGTACCCCTGATCCCGCGGTTTACAAAGCTCTAACGAACAGAAACGGAGGCCAGAACTGGGGCTCATTTTAGGCCACATCCAACATTTTGGAGTTGAGAATTTTAAAAAATGGACTAAAAATTCGAGTTTTCCGTTGAAAAATACCGTGTGATATCGCGTTTCACAAGACTTGAACAAACAGAAACCGAGATAGCATTTTAGCCCACGTCCGCCATCTTGAATTTGAGAATTCTAAAAAATGGACTAAAAATCCGAGTTTCCCGTCGAAAAATACCTCCTGACACCGAATTTCAGAAAAATCCATCGAACAGGGGCTAAGATAGCATTTTAAGCCATTTCAGATTTTCGAATTTTGAATTTTGACAGATTTTGATTTAAAACGCGTGATCCCCAAAATCGAAGCTCAGATTCGGATTCCTCGTAAAAAATCGATGCAATTTCATGTATCATACCCTGACACCGAATTTCAGGAGAATCCATCGAACAGGAGCCGAGATGGCATTTTAAACCACTTCAGTCATTTCGGATTTTTGAAGTTGAAAAATTTTACTTAAAACGCGTGATCCCCAAAATCGAAGCTCAGATTCGGATTCCTCGTAAAAAATCGATGCAATTTCATGTATCATACCCTGACACCGAATTTCAGGAAAATCTATCGAACAGGAGCCGATATGGCATTTTAAAGCCACTTCAGTCATTTCGGATTTTTGAAGTTGAAAAATTTTACTTAAAACGCGTGATACCCAAAATCGAAGCTCAGATTCGGATTCCTCGTTAAAAATTGATACAATTTCATGTATCATACCCGAGCATAGCGTGAAGGAAAGAGACGTAACGTAGACATACTGATTCGAGCATATGAATCCAACGTGGCAACATGGGTAGTGCTCAGTGGGTCAGCGGAGGAGGAAGGATAAGAATTTATCGTGAGAAATTCCTCGGGACGAAACCGAACGCTTAGCTAGCGCCGGCGCGCGGCGCCTCACCGTCCGGTTGCATCTCGGGCGACCGGCGCGGCGCGGCGGCGTGTCTTTGGGCGGCGTAGTTCAAAGACAGAATCCATACGCGTCGTTAAACCTTTTTTCTTCACGCTATTTTAACATATGATACATGAAATCTCATCAATTTNTGCTATTAATTACCCGTTGATAAAGCAATTTTTTTAAATAATTCTCATCAAAAACTTCAAAATTTCTTTAAAGAAACCCAAAATATGGATTCAGCGATCTAAATTACCCCTAAAAACATACATTCTCTCATATTAGTAAGTTCAGGCGCCTCTGAGGACTTTTGACCGGCTAAACTTGGCTGCTGGCCCTCCGTGCGGCGCCTCACCGTCCGGTTGCATCTCGGGCGACCGGCGCACTATGGTCCACAGACTGGATTTAACGGAACTTTAGGCGGAATTGATGAGGCGTAACTCGGAAAAACAAACACTTTGTAACGCACTACTGAATGCGGCGCACAATCAGCTAATGAAGACCTGTTGCGCGCTCTGTTGTTAAGGCCTGTCCCTGTCTTATCAATCATTATTAATCGATGAAAACTCAGGTGATGATCTCTGAGAGTATGTTTGATAAAACTGTGGTGCCAAACTTTCATTTTTTGCACCTTCAAAATTTGCTTAAAGTTCCGTTAAATCCGGTCTGTGGACCATAGTGCGGCGCGGCGGCGTGTCTTTGGGCGGCGTAGTTCAAAGACAGAATCCATACGCGTCGTTAAACCTTTTTTCTTCACGCTATTTTAACATATGATACATGAAATCTCATCAATTTTTCACGAGGAATCCGAATCTGAGCTTAGATTTTCGATATTATGCGTTTTAATCTATTTAAAATCGTAGGAGAAACTACAGAATTGTCCTTGAAAATTGATCACACATTAGTGTTCTTTTACGTCATTAAACCTCTTTCCTTCACGCTATTCTAAAATTTGATGCATGAAATCGCATCAGTTTTTCACGAGGAATCCGAATCTGACCTTAGATTTTGGATATTACGCGTTTTAATCTATTTAAAACCGTAGGAGAAATTACAGAATTGTCCTTGAAAATTGATCACACATCAGTGATTTTTTACCCCGTTTTTCTTCTACGTTCACGTAATGAAATTGGATCAACAGTTGACTCATCGACTAGTCTAGCCTAACCCCACAGAATCGGTCTAAAGGGCGAACGATTTTATCAGATAAGATGTGCGGTCCTAGTTTCCGGGCAAATGCGGTTTGATGGAAGCTGCGATGAGGAGAAACGGAAGATATGCGAAACGCGGGCGGATATTAAGTGAGAAACCAGGTAGGGGAAAGGCTTTCTTCCCGAAAAGTTAGTGCTCGGGCCAACTTACATGGTCACTGGAGCATTGTATACAATGTATAGCAGGTCGTGGGAAACTATTTTTTTGCAGCAACAACCAATTGGATCGCATTTTGCAAAAAGGAACTAAGAGCATTTCAATGTTGCTGGGATTGTGCAACTTAGGTACATTCTTTGCAAAAAGTAAAATTTGCGACAGTAATTTTCGTCTTGAATTCATAGTTTATTGGGAGTAGAGGTGAAACTAGTTTAGATGATCGTTTATGTTTGCAAGGTTAGCGACATTGGAATGCTCTCTATCAAGATACTATGCACTCAGATATGTTTGTGATTATAATTTTTATCAGCCATGACTGAAAACGCTGAAAATTTTTGTTCAAATAGCTGAAAAGTCAGAAAATTTTTAAATCCAAAAAACCTGTCACCCTGCAAATAGCAATGATCACGTCAGGTTGTGATTCCGCTCTTTTTTGCTGATTCCCGCAAATTTGACTTTTTGGCAACGCTGCCATAAACAGAAGTTATTGAATACCACAGGATACGATTTTTTCACATTTCCAAGCAAATTCAATGAGAGGATTCTGAAGAATCGGTACGAAGTGCGTAATTGTTGATAAAGTCAGGTGAAAAATCTCAGCATGAATAATCTCCATTCGATTTGTATATTTACTTAATTTACTTACATTTTTTTCAATTTGATTAAATGCTCAAACCGCCGTATTTTCGTGCAACGACGACGTATGAATGCAATTTATGACACATTCTGTTATTACAAGCGGAAATGATCGAAGGCGCTCCGGTTTTTTCAATGGTC